GAGCCTCTAGGCGCGCAGGCAGGCTGGCTCGTCAAAGAGGAGTTCTAGGACCGAGGGCTACCAAGCCCTGCACTGCGGGACCTCTGGCGGGAGTGAATTATGGGGCGGAGGTTCACGGTGTTAGTGACGGAGAGTTAACTAAAGTCAGACGCATGTGTGCCTCCACGATGAAGCCTGCCTGCGGCGGCCGAAGTTTAACCATACTTAGCAGGATGGAAGGCGATCCTGCTTGGTGGGGTGCTGTGGCGCCAGCCACCAGGTGGGCCAAGGAAGTCTGGGCTCGCGCCACGAGGGTCTCCGAAGTTTGTTTTTTCTTGGGCCGAGCTCCGAAACATGTGGCGCGATGTTTTCGGGCGTTCGTGGACCTGGGGGACCGTGGGCGGGCCCATCGGGGCCATGAAATTGTCCTTGGCCCGCCTGGGGTGGAGCATGCCCTCGCCCTTTGTCATGATCAGCGACTTGGGGGTTGAGCACTCGCTCACTCTCACGCCTCCTTCCCTCCTCCAGGTCTTCCTCAAAGAGGGGGTTTGGCGTTCTTTGGAGAGGGAAGCGGCCGCCAAGCACGGCCCCGAAGGGGCCGAGTCTTTATGTTTTGACGTCGTCATCAAAGCTCTTCGTTCAAAGAAGTTCACTGCTCGCCAGAAAGGAACCATCCGTTGTTGCGCCTGCCAAGGAATTTGGCCCTACGCCCGCGCACGGGCAGCAGGTTGCGAAGTCGAGGACCGTTGCCCGCTATGCCATCAGCCTGGTGACACGATTTTTCATCGGCTGTATGCGTGTTCGGCGGTGGAGGAGGGGAGGAGGGCGGTCATTCCTCTCAGCACGCTGGAGCAGGTTTTGAGGCAGTTCGAAGCAGTTCCTGAGAGAGAACGGTTCCACCTTACCTCTGGCTTGTTTGGCCACCCCCAGAGTGTGCCCCCGCCCCCTAAGTCCGACAGTAGAATCGATGAGGATGACGGTATCCAATTTCAGTTTTTTTTTTCCTGGCGGTTTTGCCGCGGAAGGCATGGAGATGCCCCGCGACGGCCGTCGACAGATGTGGGGCCACGTTTTCTTAGATGGCTCGTGTTCTCGACGGGTGGTCCGCAGCTCGAATCGTGCTGGTTGGGGTTTAGCGATGATGGGCCCTCAGTCGAACCTTTTAGCTTGGAGCTGGGGCCCCGTGTGGGACAGCTGCCCCCAGACTCCTCAGGCAGGAGAATTCTCGGCATATGTCATGGCGTGCGCGTTCCTGTCTGCACCAGCAATACTGTATTCAGATTGCCAAACTGTAGTCTCCATGCACGGCATGGCCCGACATCAGCAGATCTCACCCAAGCGTCCATATTCGGGGTTTGTGACTCAGGGTCGTTCTCTGGGGGGAAAATGGACGCTTGGGTGTGAGAAAGTGCCTGCACATCTTCCCATTGACGATCCCGAGATCGACGATGATGAGCGGTTTCGAAGGATCGGGAACGATTTCGCCGACAAGGCCGCCAGGTTGGGAGCTGACTCCCATCAGGCGCCGTCGGAGGAGGTAGCTAACGAATGCACTGCTCTTGTGAATTCGGCTCTTATGGCGGTCAGATTGTGTGCAGCGCTTCTGCCACTGTGGCCGCGCACGGACCTCTCCCGTGCATCGTGGTCTGCGCCCACTCTTGCCCCTCGCACTCCCGTCTCGCCTCATCGGTGGGAGTGGCTGGGGCCTCCTGGAGGGGACCAACGTTTTTGGAATTGTCAAGGGTGCCTCAGGACGTCGCGCAACGCCGCTGACAAAGAGCCTGCCCCTGGCCACTGCTCTGATTCGTTGAAAGTGGATGTTCGGCGGCTTAGAGATTTAAGCCACAAGTGTATCCTCCTGGATTGTTCGAACGGGTCGTTTGTTGTCGTTTGTACTGTGTGCCAGAGATACACTAGTGGAGCCCGCCTAGCAGCTCTCAACAAGACTTGTCCAGGTCAGAAAGCTTCGGTTTACAACTCTGATGCTTGGAACAAGATTTGTAAGGGACTCCATCCTAAAGCGAAAGGGGTCACCTTACTCTCAGACACTTACAGTGTGCTTTAAGCATGCAGCGGGAGCCAAAGTGCTCAAAAAAAATCCGCCTCCTCCTCCTCCTCCTTCTCCCCCCACTCCTCCCCCTCCTCCTCCTCCTCCCCCTCATCCTCCCTCCTCCCTCCTCCTCCTCCTCCTCCTCCTCCTCCTCCTCCTTCTCCTCCTCCGCCTCCGCCTCCGCCTCCTTCTCCTCCTTCTCCTCCTCCTCCTCCTCCTTCTCCTCCTCCTCCGCCTCCGCCTCAGCCTCCGCCTCCGCCTCCTCCTCCTCCTCCTCCTCCGCCTCCTCCTCCGCCTCTGCCTTCTTCTCCTCCTCCGCCTCCTCCTCCTCCGCCTCCTCCTCCAACGCCTTCTCCTCCGCCTCCGCCTCCGCCTCCGCCTCCGCCTCCGCCCCCGCCTCCTCCTCCTCCTCCTCCTCCTCCTCCTCCTCGTCCTCCTCTTCCTCCTCCTCCGTCTCCTCCCCTACCCCCCTCCTCCTCCTCCGTAGCCATTTTGGCTCAAACGAGCTGGCTTACGGGAGGCCCACGCGCGGCGCGCGCCCCGCCGCAGCGCGTCGGGCGCGCGCATGCGGCCTGGGAACGATGGCAGCGCTGGCGCGCTGCATGGCAAGGAATGGGCCGCCGCCAGCGCACGAACGCTCGCCCGCCGGCTGCGGCGCGAGCGGCGCGCAGAGCTGGGCCTCTCGCGCGCGGCGGCCCTGACGTACAGAACGGCGGCGTTCCGCACCTCCGTGGCGGCGCACTGGCGTCTCGGGGACCGGCTGGGATGCCACCTCCCCAGCATGGGAGAGGCAGTAGCCGCGGCGAGGCTGCTGGGGTGCCCCAGCGGAGGAGCTGAGCGCTGCGGAGGAGGCCCTTGCGACGGGCAACTGGGCGAGGCACAACCCTCCCCCAGGGATGGGGCGAGGTCGCCTGCCCGCGAGCCCGCCGTCCGCGCTCAAGGCGGAGATCTTCGAGGACTTCAGGCTCGAGCTCTACGGCGTCGTCTCCGGAGGCTGTGCGGCGGCAGCGGCCCAGGTGTTCGCGCGGGCCCAGCAGGCCGACGCGCTCCTGGAGGCGCTGCTCGAGGCGCCGCGGGCCAAGCATGACGTGCAGGTCGGGGGCGCCGTGGAGGAGTGCGAGGAGCAGGACGAGTCCTCGGAGATGGAGGTACCGCAAGAGAAGAGCGGCATGACGGAGCAGGTGCAGAACGTCGAGGGCGCGACCCCAGGGCCCAGCCCCATAGCTGACGCTGAGAATGCAGGGAAACCCAGGGGCCCTCTGTGGCCAACAGGGGAACCATCAGTCTCAGCGACGACGCATCAGGTGAATAGCGGAGCTGAAGGGAAGCCCGTGCAGGGCCTCGAGGCAAACAATGGGATGCCGATGGCCTTGCAGCAGGCTATTTGCGTCACCTTCGAGGGCAAGCAGAAGGAGCTGGATAGCATCGTCAACCCCAATTTCATGAAGGCAGCCGCGAACGAGACGCAGGATGATCTGGATGTGGACATCATGACCCCGTACGTCGTCGCGAAGGAGCCCGTGCGGGGCTTCGAGGCCACCGACGGGATGCAGACGACCATGCAGCAGGGTGTTTGCTTCACCGTCGAGGTCGAGGGCAAGCAGAAGGAGTTGGATAGCATCGTCAACCCCACTGTCATGAAGGCAACTTCGAACGAGACGCAGGAAGATCTGGACGTGGACATCGTGAAACCGAACGTCGTCGAGAAGAGGTTCGAGGTGCTCGAGGTGCTGGGTCTAGACATGGACATCGAGAGCTCGAACTTCGTCGAGAAGAGGTTCGAGGTCAGTGAGGCGATGGCGTTCGAGGGGAGCACGGAGCAGTTCCACGATGAGGCCGTGAAGGCAGAGGCGAACGAGAAGCAGGAGTTCGACGAGACTGCGCAGGGCTTCGAGGTCAACGACGGGATGCCGATGGCCATGCACCAGGGTGTTTGCTCCACCGTCGGGTTCGAGGGCAAGCAGAAGGAGTTGGATGGCATCGTCAACCCCATCGTGATGGGTGGTGATCGTATTGCAGCGGTGCAACCTGGGGGAGCCGTGAGGCTAGACCCCGACGCGGAAGCGGAGATGACTGCCCTCCGCGCGGCGGTCGAAGCGGAGGACGACGTTGCGGAGTGCCTCCACCGCTGCTCGGCTGCCTGCGTGGCCGCGGCGCGGACGCTGGTGCGGCTGCAGGAGGACCCCGCGGCGCCCCCAGGCGCCGCCGCGCGCGCCGCTGCGGCCCTCGATCTGACCGTGCAGCAGGAACGGAGGGCAGAAGAGCAGCACCGCTCGCGGAAGGCCTGTGCCTGGGAGATGGCCCGTGCGATGGTGCGTGAGGGAGCCGCGGGGCCCGAGGAGGCCAGGCCCCAGCAGCCAGAGCCGCACACTGCCTGAGGCCCCTGGAGAACAGGGGGGCAGGAGTGGCAGGGCTCGGCGTCGTGGCCTCGGGAGCTCGGCGGTGAGTGCAAGCAGAGGCCGCCGTCGTGCGAGCCGTGGTGCAGAAACCGAGGGCTAGCCCACTTCTGAGGCGGCGGGCCCATAAGGGCGACCACGGGTAGCTCGGCGCTGGCGGCCCTTTCCCCTCTCCCTACCCCTTCCTTCCCCCGCACGACTCGGTGCTTGGTCAATAGGTCCAATAGGTCCTCCTCCTCCTCCTCCTCCTCCTCCTCCTCCTCCTCCTCCTCCTCTTCCTCCTGCGATTCCTCCTCCATTCTCCCCCTCCTGTGGTATGACGGCTCGCCCAGCCCTTCATTCCACGGAATGCTCCTACACATTCCTGATCAGGGCAACTCGCCTGGGCATCGTTTCGGTACGGGCTGGTGGGGTTACGCGAAACGTCTAGCGATGTTCCCAGACCCGGCTGGCCAGAATTGCGAGGCGGATCCGGCCGCGGCGTCAAGGATCTCCCAGGGGGCCGAGAAAGGCCGAACAACGTCAACCAGAGACATGAATCCTCGAACCTCGATCCACGGGCTGGACGCTAGCGCCTGCAGCTGGGGTGGCGCTCCAGCATGCGCTTCGTCAGGCTCACGAGCTGCTGCGGGCGCTGCAACTCGCGCCTGAGGGCGGGAGACGCGGGCTCGCCTGCAACGCGCTGGCGCCCTCGCTCTCCGCTCCGCTCCTCGTTTGGGCTCCCCTAGTATGCACTGCTCCTCGGTCGGCGATGTGACACCACAGACGCGATGAACAACTAAGACGGGCAACGTCCTGGTGAATTGCCAACCTGCGCTGAGGACAAGGCAACAGTCGAGCGGCACAGATGCATCGGCCACTGCAGCTAGCCGTGATTTGTCATGAAGGCTTGGGGAGCACACCCAGTCTCAAGAGACAAGACACGAACCAAATCCAGCGTATTCTCGGATGCTCTATCCGGTGAGGATCACACGCGTCCGCGAGCCACGGAAGCACTCAACTGGCAGGCCAGTTAGCGTTGCCTGATGCTAGCTGCGTCAACGGGATGCGACCGAAAGACCACCGCAGCCCCCATGCACAACTGCACCAATACCAACCAAACACATCCTGAGCCCGACCAGCGGTGCATACGGAATCCTGCCCTGGCCAGGAGGGGCACACGCACCGAACCAGCGCCCAGGTTGGACGGGGCCCAGGTCGGCGTACGGCGGGCTCTTGTCGTGACGACCTGTGCGCTGGTCTCTCACACCGCGTGGATCGTTCAACCTTGAACGGTCGCGACGCTGCGAAAGCGCGGATCGCTCTGAATCGAACGACTCTGGGCCACTGGCGGCACTTAACCCTTGAGCGCCCGCGCCGGGGTCGCCGCCGCGTCGACGCGGCACGAACCTGCCGAATGCGCGTGACTATCTGTTCACCCTAGTTGCCCGCTTTGATTCACAAAATGTGTCTCCTCCGTCCTTTTACCATCAACTCTCATGGGCAGGGTTTCCGCATGGGCTGGTGGGGCCACGCGAAGCGTGACGAACTGGCTGACCCCGTCAGCGCTGGCCCCCGGCCCGTGCCCGCCGCCCGCGCGCTTGCGCCTGTCAGCGCCGCCGCGGTCCCGGAAGGTGGGCAGGGGCACGCCCGTCACCACGGCCTGCTTCCTGCACCGCCGCCGGGGCGGAGGTCGCCGTCGCTGGCAACCGCAACCGCTGCAGGTCAGAAATTAGGAACAGAAGTGGGGGCTCAGAAGTCCAAGGGCGTCTGCAGCCAGGTGAAGCCCAACAGGGGTCACCGATACTCGGCGGCCAGCGAGGGGGGACGTGAAAAGGGGGCGGGGCTTCTCAGAAACCCTCCATCCTTCTGACAAGTGAACTTCTCACAACACAAGGCTGGGTGACTTTAGAGCATTCAGGGTTCCTCGTCCCTTCTGCCAGGTTCGCCGCCGAGATGCCCCAGCATCGCCGAAGCGTCGGCGATGCGACGCAATCCTGCGACCCCGTCTGCGCCGGCCCCACTCAAGAGGACCAGAAAACAAGCGGCCACACCCCACCAACGACCCCACGATCTCGAAAGTTTAGGCACGTGCCCGTCTACGACCACCGATGACACACCTACGACACCAACCCGTCCGCGACCCACGCTCGTCCCAGACGGTCGTAGGTGGGGTTGTGTCGATTAGATTTTGGTCGACGGGAGGGCTGTATCCTCCCTGCCCGCCTCTGCAGGCCCGCGGTGGACGTCTGCGGACGCCCAGAAACGTTTGGACGTCTTCCGACGCCTTCTTCGTCGGGGATGCACTGGCCTAGGGCCTAGGTCAATGCAAGCCTGGGCCAACCGGGCTCTGCAAGATCCTGCAAAATCCAACCGGATCCTGCAGCATCCTGCGCGTTAGCCCGGGTCAATGCGTCTTTGGCTCTGCAAGATACTGCAAGATCCGGCGCTGTGGCTGACCCCCGTTTGCATCGACCCCCGTCTCATGGCTCCCGACTTCGCTCTGGAGGTCGGTGGGTGATCTCAAGCGACCTCCGCGGGCATGGCCTGCTCGCCCGTTTTCCTGGTCCCTCCTCCTTCTCCTCCTCCTCCTCCTCCTCCTCCTCCTCCTCCTCCTCCTCCTCCCCTTCCTCTTCCTCCCCCTCCTCTTCCTCCTCTTCCTACTCCCCCTCCCTCTCGTTCTCCTTTTGCTTCCTCCGCCTCACCCTGCCTCCTTCACATCATGCTGTTCCTCCTCCTGGTTTCCCTTCTGCTGATGGTCTTTCCACTCGCGGTCCTCGTGACCCTTCTCTTCATGCGATTCCGATACGTATTCTCCTTCGCAGCGCCCTCGGGCATCCCCTTCCGCGCTCGCGCGATCGCAGCCCCCGAACATGGCGGGCGGCAAGCCATGCGCGAGTGCAGAGACCCCCCGGACACCGAAGGGGGATCCTTTGCGGATAGAATGGACGAGGGAGAGGACTGCACCATATGCTATACAATCCTGATCCACGCAAAGGAGGAGGAGGGGAAGAAGGAGGAGGATGCGGAGGAGGCGGAGGAAGAGGAGGAGGACGAGGAGCGGCTTGGCCGCTCGTGAGATGTGGGGGAAGATACCGAAGACGGCGTGCCTCGCGCGTAACGCTGCACACGGCGCACCTTCTCCGTAGCGCAGTAAAAGTAGCGCGTCAAAGGCATTCGGTAATATGAGATGGTATCAGTACCAGAGTCGCAACGTATGGTCGGGCAAGATTGCGTAACACTTTCTAGCAATCGTCCTCCTGGGTATTGCCACGCGCACGCTTGGCGTGTCCGTATTAGTACGTTTTAGTACGTGTGCAGGGTGCGCTCGTTGTGCATACCTGTTGGGGATGGGGAGCCGTTGGTCTTGTAGCAGTCTTATGTAGTAGGTTCGCCCCGGCAGTCCAGCAAGTCCACGAAGTACTTAGCGCCACCTCTAATGGTAGGCTGGAAATGCAGTTCGACTCCGTCAGCCAGGTCGCACTCGTTGTAGTTCATGTAGTAGACTTCATTTGAGTGTACTGAGTTGCTTCCAAATCGTATTGTTAGCAATGTAACTTGGCAGCGATCGCCTTCTTGAGCCCGCCGATGGTTGGAGGGCCTGTGTCAATCTCGAGCGTAACGCAGTCCTCGCTCTAAGGGTCCCAATGGCATGCTGCACTGGAACCGCACTGCCGCGTCGTGTGTATGGTTCCCCACCAGCATCACGTGTTTGGTAGCATGCCAGTAGCTACCTAACAGGGGTGGTGGTGGATCTTGCCCATCGTGTGATCCGTGCCCCGTCACTTACACATGTTCCACCTCTTCCACCTCCTACTCCACCACATGATCCTTCTCCCCCTGCTCCTTCACATACTCCACCTCGCGCGCCACCACCTCATCCTCCTGGTCCTTCTCCTCGTCCTCGTCCTCCTCCTTCTGTCCCTCCTCTTACCCTCGTCCCTTTTCCTAGTCAGAGGTCAAGCCCCTGGTTGAGCTGGTCGCGCTACGCGCAATAGCACAGGGAAGATTACTTTGGGCCTCATGCACAATCTTCCACTACTCCTCGTTCCCCATGCGCAGCCTCTTCGTCCTCATCATCATTCCTGCTCCTCCTCCTGATCCTGCACATGTTGTCGATCCTCAACTTCCTCTCCCCCTCTTGTTCCGCCTTCTCATCGACGTCGGTTTCATAAACGGAGCAGGACACGCTTGAGACGAACGATGGCTGAACCAGGTCTGCAATAACACCTTCACACACTGGCCGGCGGTGGATGCACGTGCCAAGGCAAACAAATGCTCGCTGCACATCCTCCTACGCATTTTCATCACCACGAGCACCGTCATCATCACCGTCACCAGAACCATCAACAGCCCCATCATCCTTATCAGCAGCATCGTCACAATCAGCATCAGCATCATCACAACCAGCATCAGCATCAGCATCAGCATCAACATCATCTTCATCATACTCATACGCGAAATCATCATCACAATCGGCATCACCATCATCAGTAGCACCATGTACAACATCATCAACATCATCATCGTCACAATCAATAGTACCCTCATCGTCCGCCTCATACTCGCCCTCGTCCTCCTCATCATCAAAATCCTCATGATCAGCATCGTCATCATCAGCACTCATCATCACCAACATCAGCAGCATCATCGCCATCGGCATCAGCATCATCGCTGTCATTATCATCAGCATCATCAGCATCATCATCGTCATACTCATCCTACTCCTCATGATCCGTATACTCATGCCCCTCATCATCGTCTTCGCCCTCACCCACGATCGTGAGCATTCTTTTATTATTTGTTTTTGCTTTCGGCGGAACGCCCCTCCCCCCCCCCTCCCCCCCCCCCGTAGAGAAGTTCCGGGCTGATTTTGGCACCTGCTTCAATCGATCGGACGAACTACAGGGGCCGGCGCCCCCCCCCCCCCTCCCCCGGTAGAAACTCGAATCGCTGATGTGTGCAATTGTGCGCAGTTTATCGTGCTACTCTTCTGGAACCACAACGAAAGGGCTCAGGGGCATTCCCACAGGATTCCATGGGGGGTCTCCCCTATTGGGGGTCTCCCCTATGGGGGGTCTCCCCTGGGGGGGGGTCTCCCCTAGGATTCCCTCATCGGCATCTCCCACAGGATTCCCCACATGATTCAATCGGAGGCATTGACTACGGGCCGAGAGCCGGGTCCTCCCCTCCCCCCCATGCGCCTAAAGCCGGAACCCAGAATAAAAAAATGCATCCTCCTCCTCCTCCATCAGCATCATCATCATCGAAATCATCGCCATTATCAGCATCATCATCATCATCATCATCATCATCATCATCATCATCATCATCATCATCATCATCATCATCAGCATCATCATCATCATCAGCATGAGCAGCATCACCATCGTCGTGGTCATCGTCATCATTGTCATCATCATCCTCATTATCAACACCACCATCAGCATCATCAACACTACCATCAGCATCCTCCTCATCCTCATCATCATCATCATCATCATCATCCGTATCCTCATCCTCGTCCTCATCATCATTGTAATCATAGTCACCATCATCCTCAACATCCTCATCACCATTATCATCAGCATCATCGCCATCATCACCAATTTGTCCACCCTTGCCAGCATCTGCCATCATCGTCGTCAACCCCTCTTTGCTCCCAAGTACGAACGGACGGAGTAACATTGCTGCCGAGGAAGGTGTCTTGGGCTTGTACGGGAACTCGCCTGACGCACCGAGAAGCAGAAGAAAAAGAAGGAGGACTAGAAGGAGAGGGAATACAATGAAGCGGATTGGAGAGCGGAACTGCCTAGAACTCCGACGACTCCATCTTTGGTTCAGTCGCCTGACCCCCAGACCTCTCGACCCCTCCCCCAGGACTGGCTCATCCCGATCCGATGTAGTGAGAATCGACGGATCCCGAAACGGCCTCAGAATGCCGAAAATTGCGACTAAAACGTCATGTTGTCGAGTGGCCAGTCGCCCGAAGTCTCGGGGTGGGGGGGGGGAGGAGGAGCTGCAAGAGGAAGGGCGGGAGCTGCAGAGGAAGAATCGAGGAGGGGCACGAAACAGCGTACTGCTGCCATGTGCGGCTCGAGAAGACTGAAGAGACCCAGGGGCTAGATCAGTCTCAGCACTGACTGATTTAACTTTGAGGTTGCCACGGCACAACAAGAGGAGAGGACGATCGCAGGCGGGTCTTGAGAGAAAACGGGGAAGAGCGCATTTGATTCGAGGCCAAAACGGGCGTCATATGGGGGGAGGATGGGGGAGGACGGGGGGGGGGGCATTACGTAACGGCCCCCCCCCTCAGACTGTGGTGCCGGACGCACTGCGGCAGTGCCGGCGACGCACAGAGGGGGGAGCGTTACATTTGGGAGGGGGAGGGTAGGGGGCATAACGCGCGGTATGGCCCAGAGGGTAAAAGATCACTGTCGAAGACGGAGAGGTCGCAAGCAGGGAGGCACACGAGAGGAGAAAGAGAGGAGGGAGGGAGGGAGGGGCGAGCCGCCGCAGGCCTGAATTTCCAACCTCCCCTACACTCTGACCTGCTTTCGCCCGCATCCTTCCCCCTCCTCCATTCCCCCCCCCTCATGCCTCCCGCCTGCTTCCTCCACTTCTCCCTCCTGCTCCCCTCAGCCCCTCTTGCCCAGTCCTCCCTCTTCCCTGCTGCTCTTCTACCCCCATCGAGCGGTCGCGCACGCAGGTGTAGGGAGGGAAAAACAAGAAAGGAGAAGGGTGCAAAAGGAGAAGGGAGAAAGGTGAAAAACGAGAAAAATCCAAGCAGCGAGGGAGGTGCAAAACGAGAGAGGAGACGGCCCGCTGGGTGGCGGTGCACCGCTTGCGCCAACCACCAGAAAGGCACTCGACCACTTGCGTGCGCCACCCGCGGAACCGCTGCGGGTCGCTTCAATCGCGATGCTGTTTGTCATCTTGCTCTCGCTCTCCTTCTGTGTCTCGCTGTCTCTCTTGCTTCTCATTTTCTATGTATGTATATATATATATGTGTGTGTATATATCCCCTCTCTCTCACTATCTCTCTACATCCTGTGTGTACTTGTCTCCTCTGTGTCTCATCCACTCCCTCGGGGCCAAAGGGGGAAGGAACCACACCCTTGGTATCCAGCCGGCAGGCCGGGCGCGGCGGCCGACCGTACAGGAGGACGTACAGGTTCACGCCGAAGGACCACATGTCAGCACTGGCAGCAGGTGGGAGCCAAGAAAAGGAGGATGAAAAAAAGGAGGCAGAAGAAAATATGAGCGTGGAGGAGGAGGGAGGAACACCCTCTATGGCGGTCGTTGCAAAACGTACTTACCCTAATTGCGTATTCCTGCACGGCAGCAATTGTCGGATTCTTCTTAATTGTCGGATTCTTCTTTCTCAATCCTGACCCATTTACTCCACGCAATGTGGCCCAAAACCTCATTCGTCGAGTCGGCCAGCAAGCAGATTATCTTGCTCATGAACCTCGTTGCGACAAACTGGAGCGGCAGATCACCGTCACCGACCTCGGCTGCATGCTCGCCCTTGCTGCCGATGAGTAAAACTGAGGAGGATTGTCTGACCCTCAACGCGCCCTTGAGATCAGCATGAGCGCAGATAACTAGGCCCCATCAGCGGTGGTAGATCTCTAACCAACGGCAGACTCTCGATGAATGGAACACCCTCCGACTCAAGATCGCAGCGGTCAGCGTCACCGACGACGTGGAAGCGCAATCTCGGGTGGCAACCACGCCCGGGCCTGCTGACAGACGTTCACAGCGTCGTCAACACCCAATTACCTCCACTGCCTTGGCCAGGTCTGATGGCGAGACAAAGGCTGCGACCGAGCGCCCAGCATCGCCGACCCCGCAGATGACGGGGCGGTTCCAGCAAGTATTCTCTTTTGCACTCCTAAGGCTATTGCGACGCAGAAGGCGCCAGTGTCAAAATGGGCCTCGGTGTGCTAATCGGCTGCACCTCGCGCTCGCACTCCACAAAGTCGCAATGCTCAGAGGAAAAGATGATGACAGAAACGTCGCGCGCGGACGTGTGATCCTTGCCCTGAGAGCAGCCAGCACAACAGAAAGGATTCCCAGTTTTGCCGGCTCGTTGGCAGTCGGGGGTGCAGCACATATGAGGCTAACATATAGACCTCAACAACACGTCTTCTGGAGACGGCTTCTTGAGATGAGTCGGGGCCATGCTAGAGCAATTCTCAGAGTCGAGAGCCTTGCTCGAGAGAGTCCTTTGGGGCGGCAATGTACCAGTATAAGCACTGGCCCACCTCACAAAAATCCAGGCTGATGACCTCGCAGATCCGCGCGTCGTACACGGCGTTTGTGTACCTCGCCTGCTCCCTCGGACTCCCACGAAATCGAATAGTGATATGGTGCTCGAAAAGCCCTGAGTCATCGAACTGAGTGTCGGTGAGATCGTCGAATTCGGTGACAGCCGCAGGAATCGACACAATAATGTGAAGCAGGATAACTCAACGTACCCGGTATGTGGGAGCGCGCGCAGAGAGAGCACACGCTGCTGGCTGACTTGAATCACGACGGAGTCACCCTCAAGCCAGGGTCCTCCCTCACTGCCACGGTCCAGGGTCGCGAGGAAGACGACCCGAGATGGCCGCAAGGACAGCGCCAGGACGGCCTCACGACGGCCCCCAGACACCCAGCGTACGGCCGAAAAAGCCGCGAGACGGCCCAATAGGGCACCAAGCCGGCCATGGAGGGCCTCAGACGGCTCAGGAGGGCCCAAACCATCCCCAAGAATGCCTCACAGGAGGTCAAGACAGCTCCACGACGGCCCAAAAGAGTTACATGAGAGCCTCACGAATAGTGAAGACGAAAGGCGTCACATGTGACGGCCTTCCTCTTCCACCTACTCCTGCTTCTCGTCGTCATCATCACCATTGCCATCGCCGACGCCATCGCCATCAATGTCACCATCACCATCACCGCACTATCAGTATGACCATCATCATCAACAACACCATAAGCATTACCACCACGATCGCCATATGCATAACCACCAACGTCGCTGAATCATCATCATCATCATCATCATCATCATCATCATCATCATCATCATCATCATCATCATCATCATCATCATCATCATCATCATCATCATCGTCAACATCATCATCATCATCAGCATCATCATCACCATCATCGTCACCATCGTCGTCAACAACAACATCCGCATCCGCATCAGCATCAGCATCATCATCATCATCATGACCAAGGGCATCCTCAGATCATCAAGGTAAGCAACCCCATCATTGTCAGCATCATCACCATCATGATCAGCATCGTCATCATCAACATCATCAGCACCACCATCAACAACAGCATCATGGTCATCACCATCATCACCACCAGCCACAGCATCATCATCATCATCATCATCATCATCATCATCCATCATCATTACCATCAGCGCCAACATGAGTTACATTATCAGCATCGAAATCATCGTCATCCTCAACATCAGCATCAGCAGCATAACCATCATCATGATCATCGTCACCAGCATCATCATCAGCATCAGCATCAACATCAGCATCATCATCAGCATCATGATTGCCATCACCATCGTCATCATCATCATCACCATCATCATCATCATCATCATCATCATCAGCATCGCTTGTCATCACCATAACCATCAGCACCATCGCCAACATCATCAGCACCACCAATCCTCATCCTCATCATCTTCATCTTCGCCATGGCTCGCCCAAGTCTGGAGAGATGAAAGGTCAGAGGTAAAGGCCTCCCATGCCCCCTCGAAAAGTCACCACACAGAAGGATGGGCTTGCACGGTGGCGGGACTTCCCGCAGGCAGCTAGGCAATTAGAAAGACAGTGCTTGGAAATTCGCCACCGTGCGGCACGTAGTTGCAAGCCCAAGACGCAGACAACTCTGCGGGGTAGAGGGTTTGTGTTTCTTCAGGGCCTGGACCTCCGGTTTCCGCTTGGGCGTATTGGACGCCAAGAGAACCCCAAGACGGGCCAAGAGAACCACAATCTGCCCCCATGACGGCCGAAGAGGATCCTGAGTCGTCGAACAATCGGTCCAAGACGCCCACAAGATGGCCTCCAAACGGCAGCGGATACCCCCAACGAAATCTAAAAAGGCCTCCAAGGAAATCCACTGATTCGCCATATATGTTTATAAAATATGTTGTCGCACGTTCGGCCTCCCCGCGCTCCAAGACGGCCCACGAGGATTACAAAACTGCCCCAAGACGGCCCAGGAGGCCTCCAGCAGGGCCTCATAACGGCCGATACGAGCATCAAGACGGCCCGAGAGGTCTCGAAGACGGCGCAAGCGCCCCAAAGACGGCTCCAAGAGAGGGCCCAAACCCGAAGGACCCTCAGAAACCTCTAGGAGGCCCCGAGAGGCCCCCAAGAGGCGCTCAACAGGTCCAATCCCCAAGAGGCCCACATGAGGCTCCCCACAGGCCCCCAAAGAGGCTCCTTATAGGCTCCAGAAGCTCCCCTCAACAGCTCCCACGAGCGCTCCGAAAATACTTCCAAAAAGCAGAACTCATCCCTGACTCGACGCGGAGATCCCTATCCGTGCATCTCACAATTCCTGTCACGACTCGCTGAGGATCTCTGTCCGTGAGCATCCGTGTGTGAGGGCGAGTCCGCGCAGACTACAAGCGCGACAACGACGAAGACAGCGACGACTTCAGAGACGCCCTCCTCCTCTGGACACCTTTCAAGAGAGATGGGGGGAACACACATGGAAGAGCGAGGGAGATTCCGTCTCACTGCTGCAACTCAGGCAAGCGCGCATGGCGTTGCTACGCCCGCTCTCTGGCGTGCTACTCGCGGCGACTGCTGGCAATTGGGGTGCGCAAAACCACGCTTGCAATCTTGCAATAGCCACCTGCGTGTGAGCCGGGTGCGAGCGAATCTGAGTGTTAGTGATCTAAATGTGAGCGAGTTGGAGTGCGAACGAAGCTGGGTATGATTGAAGTGGGGTGCGAGCGAAGCTGGGTTCGAGCGGGTCTGAGTTCGAATGAGTTTGGGTGAGAGCGAGTCTGAGTGTGAGTGTGATGACTACGATTCTTAATGTGAGTGAGCCTGAGCACGAGGTGGCCTGAGTATGAGAGAGTCTGAAGGAGAGCGAGTCTGAACCTGACACAATCTGCGTGTGAGTTAGTCTGGGTGTGATTGGGTCTGGCTGTATGAATATGAATGAAAAATGGCCTGAACGAATGGGCGTATGGGTAAGTCTGAATACGGGTGAGTCGGAATGTGATGAGCGAATCCCAATCAGCACTATGCATCGATGGTAAGTCTGACTGTCAATGAATGCATCTGAATGAGGAAAGGTGGAAGGAGGAGGAGGAGGTGAGTGGTTGACTGAAGAGCTCACAGGTCTGCGGGGGAGAAAGAGGCAAACCACCAGAGACATCCCCACAATCGGGCGCGAATCCCGGAGAGTCACCGTGGAGGTTCCCCCTTGGGGTGCTCCATTGCAACGCCTGCTATATCGCGGTGACCCACCAAACTAGAAAAGCCCGCTGGGGGGGTGCAGAAACAGGCAAACCGCCTAAGACATCCCCACATCTGGGCGCGAACGTGCGACTGTCATTCCCACTGGCAGCTCCCCCTGGGGGTGCCCAAGTGCCACGCACGCTATCTGGCGGTGAGCACTGGACCACCATCAAAAGAGGAAAACTTGAGGGGCAAAAGCAGGCAAACCGCCTGAAGCATCCCACAATCTGAGCGCGAACGGAAAGGCGGCATACCCCTTGGCGGCTCCCCCTTTGGGTGCTGAAACAAGCGCCGTGTGTCAGACATCCTCATAAACTGCTCTCGCAAACAAGCCTTGCCACCAAAACAAGCAAACCGCTTGAGGCATCCCCACAACTTGGGCGCGAACGGAAGAGTGAGATACCTCATGGCGGTTCCATTTTGGGGTGCTAAAGCCAGCGCCTCGTCTAAGGCCGCCTCACAATCTGCTGCTGTAAACGCAAACGAGTCTGGCACCAAAACAAGCAAAACTGCCGGAAATATCCCCACAGCCTGAGCGCGAACGGAACAAATACCCCCTGGCGGTTCGCCTTTGGGGTGCTGAAACCAGCGCCTCGCACGAAACGTCCTCACAGTCTGCCTTGAACGCAGCCGATCCTGGCCACCAAAACAGCCAAAACCGCCTGAACTATCCCCACAACCTGGGCGCGAACAAAGACACGTGTAAGATACCCCCTGGCGGCTCCACAATGGGGTGCTGATACCAGCGCCTCACCCGAGACATCCTCAAAGACAAAACAAACAAAACCGCTTGAGACATGCCCACAACCAGGCGTGAACGGAGGAGTGAAATACTTCCTGGCGATTCCCCACTGGCGTGCTGAAGCTAGCGCCTGACCTCAGAGATATCCTCACAATCTGTTGCTGTGAACGCAGACTCCGGCCACCCAAACAGACAAAACCGCCGGAAATATCCCCAGAACCTTGGCGCGAACGGGAGAATCATAGACCCCCTGGCGGTTCCCCCTTGGGGTGGTGAAACCAGCGCCTGGCACGAAACGTCCTCACAGTCTGCCCTGAACGCAGACGATCCTGGCCACCAAAGCAAGCAAACCGCCTGAGACATCTTCACAACCTGGGCTCGACAGGAGGACTGGCATACCCGCTGGCGGCTCCCCCGTAGGGAGCCCGACTGTCACGCCTGCGACACCACAGAAACATTGGACAACCAATTGGGCGCGAGTAGGCCGAATCGCGAATGTCTCGCCTGCTATATCGCAGCGAATCTGATGGTGAATGAATATGAATGGTGGTGCGTCTGTGTATGCACCAGAGTCTGAATACGCGTGTGTCTGAATTTGAATGGATTCGGGTGTGGGTGAATCTGAGCGTGAGTGAATCTAAGTATGCGCGAATACGAACGCGAAAGAATTTGGGTATGCGTTCGGGCGGGTGCGAGTGCACGAGGAAGGCGGATGCGAGGAGGGATAAGTGGGACTGGGGTCGTCCGAATAATTTCCCAGAAGCGGGGGCTGACGCAGCCTCGAGCCAGCCAGCCTGCAAAGAAGCGGGCGTTTCCCTCAACGGGCGTTTATCCTCTATTCGGAGGAGCTTCGAGTACCTAGAAAGCGGCCCACCTCCTCCCCCTAAGGCCATCAAGTGGGAGGAGGTGCGACCGCGGAAGCGATTGCGAGGGAAGGTGAGTCTCGCCGCCCTCGCTCTCAGCCAAGCCCAGACTTCCTGAGGCTGGTATGCATGTTTTGAAATTTTGTTTCGTCTGCAAGAATGGTTCCTCGTCTAGCCTCGCTAGGAGAACACATATGCGCATGTCGTAATTCCTGTCACGCCGCTTTGAAGAATTATGTCTGTGAGCGTGCAGGTGTGAGAGCGAATCCGCGTAGACGACAGGCGCGACAACGACGACAGCGACGGTTTCAGTGACGCCCTCCTCCTCTGGACATATTGCAGGAAAGATGCGGGAACAAACGAATAGGAGAGCGAGGAGGATCCCACTTGCCCTTCTCACTGCGGCAACTCAGGCAAACGCGCATGGCGTTGCTACGCCCGCTCTCTGGCGTGCAATTGGGGTGCCCCGGTGCCATGCTGGCTACATCGCGGTAGCCACCTGCGTGCGACCTCTACTGCGAGCGCGTATGAATCTGATCGATATGCATGTGAGCGAGCCGGAGTGGGAGCGAATCTGGGCACGATTGGGTCTGAGTGCGAGCGAATCTGGGCGCGACCGGGTCTGAATGCAAATGGGTCTGACTGCGAACGCGCGTGACCACGAATAAATCGAATATGCGGTAGCTTGGACGAATCTGAAGTTGGACGAGCCTAAACCTGACTGGTGCCTGACTGTGAGCCAGTCTGGGTGCTAGTGAGCAGGATGATGTGTGTTAACATGACTGGGCCAAATATGAGCGACTCTGAGCACCAATAAATAAATATATATATATATATATAAATATATGAGTACGTGGGGGTCTAGATGGGATGGTGGGACCCAATAAGGAAGAAGTGCTGGTGAGGAAGGGTGAATGCAAATGAATGCGAATGAGTGCGGGCAAAGGAAAAAAGAGGAGCGGGAGAAGGAACATGTGAACCAGTGGATGCAAAACACACACACACACACACACATCGAAAGAGAACTCTGGGGGGAGAAACCGGCAAATTGCCTGAAACATCGCCACATTCGGGCGCGAATCCTGGAGTGCCCCCGCCCCTGGCAGCTCCACCATCAGGAGTTCACTTGCAATCTCGCGGTGGGCCATGGACCCAACAAAAAAACGTGGTGGGGGCAATCAACAAACAAACCGCCTGGGACGTTCCCACAACCTGGGCGTGAACGGGGGAATAGCATGCCCCCTGACAGTTCCCCCTTGGGGGGCCACAGTGCAACGCCCGCTATATCAAGTGACAACAGATCACCAACAAACGCAACTTCGGGGGCAGGAACAGGCACACCGCCTGAGACCTCCCCACAAACTGGGCGCGCACGGGGAAATCAGATACATCCTGGCGGTTTCCTCTTGGGGGGCAAAAACCAGTACCGCGCATGAAACGTCCGCAACCCGCTGCTCTGAACGCAGATGGTTTTGGCAACGAGTACAAGCAAACCGCGTGAGACATCCCCACAATCTGGGCGCGAACGGGCCTGTGACATACCCCTGGCGGTTCCCCTTTGGGGTGCTGGAGCCAGCGCCTCGCCTGAGACATCCTCACAATCAGCTGCTCTGAACACAAGCGAGTCTGGCTTACCAAACGGGCGAACCGCCGATGACATCCCCACAATCTGGGCGCTGTCGGGCAGATCAAATACCCCCTGGGGAACGCTGAAACCAGCCTTTCGCCTGAAACATCTTCGTTCCCTGGGCGCTAAGTGAGGTCTGAATGTGAATGAATACGAAGGTGGGTGAATCCGAGTACCTGCATGGGTGCCTGGCAATGAGTGAGTCTGGGAGCGAGTGGGCCTGACCGTGAACGAACATGAGTATAAGTGAGCGCGAGTGTGAACGAGTCTGTGCGCGAGTGGGTCTGAGTGTGAGTGGGCCTGAATGAACTGAACATGTGCGCGAGTGAGTCTGAGTCTGAGGGACGGGAGAGAGGCGAGGGTGACAAGTCGGTGCGGTCTCTAAGTCATTTCTCGATGCGGAGATCCCCAGATGTGCATCTCACAACTCCTGTCACGTCTCGTGTAGAAACTCCGTCTGTGAGTATATGAGTACGAGATGACGGGGTGCACGCGACAGTTTCTTACGCGTTGTCGAGTGATAAACCTCCAACAAGTTGTTCGTTTCTGCGGCCAGAAAAGAAGGCCCGAACCATATGCTCGGAAACCTGGAGAAGATGTCAAAAACCTGGGCGACACAGCCCGAGGGAAGGTACCCAAGGTGACTGCATGAATTCACATGCAATCGGGCCTCGCAGCATGAATGGCAGCACAGACGCGCCCCGGGCGTCCAATCTGCGCCGCCGTTGCGAGGTGCCTCGAGATGCCACCCCGAGACACGGCCACCGGCACGACCCCCACTTGGCCGCCGGCCCCAAGAAGCGGATACCCCACTGCCCGAAACTTTTTAGTTCCCGCGCCCCCCCCGTCGGGGACTCCTTCGAATAACCCCATCGGGCCTCGCAAGGGTGACACGGCGGGCCCACACCTCCTGTGGTTGGCAAACCACAGGAGCCTCGCCACAGCCTCGCCGGGCTGTGGTGACGATCGGGCTGCCAACCCGACTATTTTCCTGGGACGCCACGATGGCACCCGGCGGCGCAGGCGCCAAGGAAAAAATGGGGCACCCACAGAGGTTCGTGATTGTGGCCAGGTAATAAAACGATTTCCCAATGGATGCCCGTACTTACAAATCTTCAGAAGATAAGGCCCGCATGGGTAGATCACCCGTTGAAAGCCCACTCATGATGCCCACCAAAGATTCGCGTGGTACAGAATCTTTTTCGGGTGTGATCTAGGTTTCATACTTGGCATCACCAACATGGTCGTGGCACTTGCCATCGCGATCATCACCAGCACCGATGTGTCCTCCTCATCGAAATCGCCACAGCATTACCTCATGACCATCATTGTCAGATCAGTCCTCGTGAGAATAATCAAGATAACAATAATTGCCATGCCCATCACGCCATCATCACGAACAGTAACCGATACCAACAGCATCAACACATTCATGTCATACCCTCTGTCCCACCTTCTCGATTAGTATATCCATGTCTGACCACCAACCTGTCCACCCTGCTATACACTGGCTTGGACAAAAGATGATTCGGGAATGCACAGCGCCGAAGGTGCAGCAAACGACAGAACATAGCTCCTCGTGTCGTGTCCCCTATTCAAGATCATCTCCACAGACATGTACGGCGCCTCTCACGGAGAAAGTGAGAGGGAGGGGAGGACTCGAAAGGGCGAAGGGGAGAGCAGATGGGAGGGCTCGAAGGGAGGAAGGGGGAAGAAGAGATGGGAGAGGGGGAGGGCGAGGGCGAAGGCAAGGGAAGAGCGAAGAAGGATGGGAGGATGGGGAGGGGGGAAGCAGGCCGTCAAGCTCATTTGTGAACCCTCCTCTGATATACTCTGCGGCGTTATGCCATCGGTGGCATCGCCGTCACCTGGCATCGCCACCGTCGTTGTTTCGTCGCAGCCACCGGCGCCGCCGTGTCTCGACCGTCTCGACCCAGCGGACTGCACTTCAGCGGAGTCACCGCGATCCCTCCACCTCCTCCTCCTCCTGCTTCCCCCTCCTCCGCCCCTCATAACAACCATCACCGTATGCTTGCTACCGTGCATTGTCCTCCTACTTCCTATGCAGTACGCTCCTAAGCATGTTCCTCCCCCTCCTTCTTCTCCTCCTGTTTATCCCCCCCTTTGTGCCAATGTCGATCCTGCTCGTCCTCCTCCTCCTCCTGCTCCTCCTGATGTTCGTCCTCCAGATCCTCCTCTTCCGACGCCGACGACGACGACCACGTGACGAAGACGGCGGCATCGGCGGCGCCGCAGCGACAACGGTGGCGACGGCGGTGACGACGGGGGAGCTGCCGTGCCGTGCGTCCCGTACAGCAAGCCACCCCCGCGCGGCATCCTTGCCAGTGGGGCGGCCGGCGGGCGCGTGCGCGCGGCTGGCGCCGCTCCGGAGAGCAGAGGATTCTCCACAGAAGAGGCACCCCTACGGGCGACGCCATCTAACGAAGCCACCTCTGGGAGGGATCGACAAGGGCGGGGCTGTGTAGCAATCGTGCCACCATGAGGGACGCGGAACAGAGAACGAAGGGGCTTTTGCGGCCTCGGCGAGCCTGGGCCGCGAATCGGTTCCCCAACCTAGACCCGAGGAGAGGCCCAAAAGGCAAAGCCCCTCATGAGTCCTTTCAACGTCTTGGCTGTACACCTCAGTACGTGCTGGTCGGGTTGGAGATGTTCCTCCCTGCGCGCTCGAGGCGAAGAGGTAGGGGGGGGGGTGGGCCGAGGGAGGCGGACGACGGAAAAGTCGGCTCCCTGGCATGGGACATAGAAGAACATACTAGTACTATGTACCCTCCTCGGAGACGTGCGTCCGACCCGACCATGTAGTACAGCCATCTTGTCATGCATCGTTTCCCGAGCGGTACGACTAGAAAGCGCCCGACAACAGAGCTTATACTATAGGGGGGCGACGCACACCAAGTACTAGTATGTCGGTGTGACGCCGATGGCAACCTTGGACACTTCCCGGCGAACTGGGCCATACCCAGGCGGGCGAGCGGGTCGCCCGCGCGCGCCCTCGCGAAACGCGGGTCTCCCGGGTGCCATGTTCGCGGGGCCACTCGTCACCAAAATGCGGCCCTCTCCTTAGAGCCAGGCACATGGTTTCGAAAAGCTTCCAACAATTGAAAATAAACATGGAAGTGGTGGTTTTGAGCCTGTGGCTATCGTAACGCTCGCGCAACTATTTTAAACGCTGCCAGCAACTACAATAATGAAGGCGTGCTCGTTTGCGCGATGCGACTATCGCTAAGAAATTTCCTAAAATTCGCTGCCTCGCAATTCCAAACTGTTAAAAATCTAAACGGGTGGAGGGCGACTCCTTTTTCAAATTGGGGCTCTCGCTTTAGGGCTCCGCCCGCTTTCTGACCGTTACTGTCCGAAATGATGCAACACCTTTGTGGATGGAGGGCAGATCAGCTGCATAGATGGAGGGCGGCTCCCTTTGAAACATGGAGCTCTCTCGCTTGAGTTCCGTCCGCTCTGAGAGCAGTAGCGTCTGACATTGTGCAACACTCTCACGGATTGAGGGCAGATGCTCGCCAAAACGGGGCCATCGCAGGGCACCCGCTTGAAGTTGGTGATGCTGCCTCTGTCTGTGGACTCCTTTTTGCTGACACGGTGGACGGCCTACTGAGCATCGTTTAACCGATCTCCATCCCCAGCGGCGTGGCCTGGGCCCCACTGGCCGATTTACCCCCCTAGATGGGGACATAGGCCGTTCCCTTCGGGTTTCGAGGGGTGTATCCCTAACTGGGGGTAACTTGGTGGGGGTCTCGAAGGGGATGGGCATGGGGGATGGGGGTCAACGCCGCGACCGATACGATACTGACGACTGCCAACGACGGAGGCTGCGGGGGCACACGCTGCGACCGTCGAAAGGGATGGGCATGGGGATGGGGATCGGATAAACAATACCGGTGCTTGCTGACACGGTGGACGGCCCACCTTTCGCACACAGGGATCTCGCCCGAGCGGCAGGCCCACTGGGCGCTCCTCTCTCCTCCAAAGGGGGGGGCACCTCCCGCGGTGGAGAGGAACCACCCGGAGGGCCTCCTGAGAAAGGGGGGGCCGGGGACGGGAGGGCGCACTGCAGCGTCGTGGAAGCGTCCCGGGTAAACTCTGGCCCTCCTCCTTCCCCTCCTCCCCCTCCTCCCTCCTCCTCCTCCTCCTCCTCCTCCTCCTCCTCCTCCTCCTCCTCCTCCTCCTCCTCCTCCTCCTCCTCAGCCGCCGCTTCTGCTCAAGCCACCTTTTCAGCGGCCCAGCAGGCATCCCGCGCAGAGCAGCTCCGCCCGCCAGGGCGCCTTCCATGACATGCCAGCCTGGCCAGCCTCCATATTCTTCATAACGATCTGGCTTGTTACACCGTTCCTCAGTTGGGGAGTATATTATCCGATCTCGCCGCCAGAGTTGCATCGCTGCCCCGTGCTCAGCCACACCTACGGCGCCGTGGACTAGAATCTGCTACCAGCTACGCGTTGGCGACTGCAAGGCGCCAGCTCAGTACTCGACCAGCTCAAGACTCTCAAGCACGAAGTCTACACGTGGGGCTATGGCCGCGCACCGCACACCACCTGGCATGCTGGCAGAGCGATCATGGTGAGCTACCAGCGGTTCGGTCCGTCAGCCGTCGTCGGCATCAAGAGCCCGTTCAAGCAGATACAAGGACGCGCAGGTGCTCTCCGCTACCTGCGGGGCGGGTTCGACCTCGCCTTCCTCGTGGCCTACCTGCCTCGCTCGAGGCTAGCGGCAAAGTGCATCCAGTGGGTCAAAACGGTCAAAGTTACGCTCAAGAGGATCAACAGGACGTTTCATGTCACACCGACGTGCAGCACACCGTTGATAGGCATTGGCCTCAAAGTTCTTCAGGCTGGAGCTAATAGATTCATTGCTACCAATGCAATTGAAGCCTTCGGAGACTCGCAACTATACAGTCGGCCAGGTGAAGCAGCAGCTTGCTATTATCTGCTGGACGATTACGGATGTTGCCTCCCCAATACCTTCGGGCTGGCCAGCCCTTTCTATTCTGGTACTGCAGGACAAGATACGAGACCTGATTGCCTAGTGGTTACTCTAGGGCTATTGCAGAGTCCCCAGACATACGGTATTTGGTGGAAGGCAGTGAAGGCAGTGAAAGCAATTCAGCATAATCACAACGAATTCATCTCAGCCATAGCGACCGCGCTGGAGAACTCCACTGATACCTTCCGCGAGCTCAACGAGCAGGGCTCCACTCACGCCTACTGGCAGATCCTGACCGACAGGCTCAAGATCACAGCCAAGCCCTTTTACGAGAGAGAACAAAAACAGCCTGGTACCAGCAAGCAGCTCATGGCAAAGCAGCTCGAACTTCTGAAGAGAAGTGCAGAGCTACGCAAGCAGTTCATCGGCGTGGACACACTCACGAGAACTATCAAGAAGCACAATCTACTTCACGACGCAGCACGCAATAGAGTATCAGAGGCACAGCTTCCTGAGCAGCACGCAGAAATACATCGACTCAGCAGGTGCATGGCAGGCACCAAGCATGGCAAGAGGAACCGCTACTATTACAGCAGGGCAACACGTTCGAGACCGAGCCGCACCGAGTGGACTACGCACGGTGCACTCAACGGAGCTCAGGGAGGATTTCAGGCTCAACCCTCCGACTTCGAGGAAGAGAAAAAGCTACTCATGGTCGCCCGCGAGGACCGCGACGACATCGCCAAGCAGCAGTTCACGGACGAGCATCAGGAGAAAGAGAATTTGGGCATCTTTTGCTACGGAGTCAAGAAGCGGCTCAAGTACCTCACAAAACGACCTCCAGATCCTGAATGGTCGTTAACCCAAGGCTTCGGTTTCTACGAGGAGGTGATGGAGGCGCCGCGAGCTGTTCTACGTCGCGCAGGGCTTCTCCCTCATGTTTACTGGGTCGGTTTCGCTCTATTGGATGCTTATCACAGCCTAGGCTTCACGCTCGATATGAAGAACGCCAAGCCCTCAATTTCAAGGATTGTGTATACTACACATGTCGTGGCCACTCAGGCGCAGCGTGTACGGTCAACTACACTGCCAGTCGTCCCCAAGCTCGCGCAGCTACTCGCAGTACTCATCCGCAAGCTCTCGCCAGCTCGCAGCAGTTGGAGTGGTCGGCGGCAGCGGTGTTCAGCACGCACCTCTTGCCCATTCAGAACCAAGTGGTCACGGCCCTCACGACCAGTCGCGAACTTTACGCGGTGAAGGGCTGGGAACAGGGCAAAAGACACGCTTTCGGACCCACAGAGGGCCAACTCTACATGACACATCTTTTGACCTTTTGTTCAGAGGACGTGGGTGGCAAATTGAGGGTGCTACTTACCGAGCACGGCCAGTTCCTGGACAAGATCCTCGCTGCGAAGGTACTCCGCGGAGTCAAAGACTTCAAACTCAGCAAGTGCTTCGTGGCCAATCTAGTGCTGCTCACGCTGCTCATCGTGCAGGGCTTCTAGACGGGCGCAGAGAACGAGGAGACCCCGACGGAGGTGCTGCGGCAGCGGCTCAGCATCCAGGGCACCACTCACCGCACACTACGGCAGACAGGAGCGGTGGTCAAAGAGGGCAATGCACCGGTGGGAGTCAGGGACGGTGAGCTGGCTGCCTGGTCTGCAGGACAGTGATTATATGGAGGCCGACTTATCTACGCCATGGTCGGTTTCAAGCTCGGCGTGCGCGACGCCGTGAGCTGAGTGAAGGCGCCCGCGCTGTGCAGGCGACGGCGGGGGCCAGAGCAAGAGGCACGCGCCAGACTCCGCCCCCCGAGGACGCTCTTCTTCTTCTTCTTCCTCCTCCTCCTCCTCCTCGTCCTCCTGCTGCAGCGATTGCTCCTCCTCCTCCTCCTCCTCCTCCTCCTCCTCCCCTCCTCCCCCTCCCCCTCCCCCTTCCCCCCCCCTCCCCCTCCTCCCCATCCCCCTCCCCCTCCTGTCCCTCCCCCTCCCCCTCCCCCTCCGCCCCCGCACGCGCTCCCGCGCGCGAGGCAGAAAGGCCCCCTTCCGACCACTCCCCTCGCCGCTGCGCCGGTCGCCTGGCCGAGAGCCCGAAGTCGCAGAGCTTCACGGCACCGGCCGCGCCTCCGCGGGGCGGCGCGGCGCGGGGCAGCCCGAACCGAGGTGGCGAGCAAGGACTGCGAGGACTGCTGCGGTGGACCTAGAAGGTCCCTCGACACTAATTCGAATCACTTCGGAAGCTCGCGTCTGAGGCTCGCAAGCTCCCCAAGCATGGTTTCTGTCTTTGGCGAGCATCTCCCACAAGCGTGTTGTAAGCTTGCCAGCTCCTGAGCACGCCCTGCTATCCGGGTTTTGCACCACACATGTCGCTTCGGTGGCGGTCCGGGCCTGTTGAGCTTCCGGAGAGATTGAAGGACAGCAAGATGGAAAAAATGTCGGGCGCACGAGGCCCTGCTTGAAGATGTAGTTGAATACGCGCCGCCCTGTGCGCACGAGCGAGAGCACGAATCCGAGTACGCAAGGCCGAAAAAACTTGTGTGCTGCGAAGGCCTTACGGCCGGTGCCGCCGATCCTGAAGGAGGACAGGAGGACCACGACGACAGCGGCGGCGGCGGCGACGACGACGACGCTGACGTGGGACAGAGTGATGCCTCTTAGGGTCTCTTCAGAAGGCTCTCGGGGACCGCTGGGGAGGAATTCTGGGGGCTCTTGGGAGCCTCTTGGGCGCCTCTTGGGGCCTCTTCGGGCTTCCTGGGGACCTCTTGTGGGCCTCTTGGAGCCTCTTGGGAACCTCTTGGGGCCTCCTGGGAGCCTCTCGGGGCCGAGGGCTCGAAATGTCCGTTCAGGTCCCCCGTCTGGGCACGCTCTTGGAGCCGTCTTGGGGGCCTCCTGGGCCGTCTTGGAGTCGTGGGTGTCTTAGGGGTTCTCTTGGGCTGTGGGGGCCCTCTTGGAGGCCTCTTCGGCCGTCTTGAGGCGATCTTGGGGGCCTCTTGGGCCGTCTGGAGCGGCGGGAAGCGGAAAAGGCGACAACACCCAAATCGTGATACAAACAAGGGAATCCAATGAATTTGCCTCGTGGGGCCCTTCTCGGGAGTGCTCTTGAAGGTTTCTTGGGACATCTTGGCGGCCTCCTGGGCTATCTGGAAGGCGTGAAGGCGTTTTGGACAGTTAGTTTGGCGATTGCGGGTCGTCTTGGACTGTCTCGAGGACCTGTTGGCGCACTCTTTGCCTGTCTTGGTATTTTCGGAGGCCCAGGACCCCCAAGGCACCCCGGGACCCCCCCCTGGCCCCCCCCCCCTGTCCACCCCCAGGACACCCCCCCGACGGGGGAGGGATCAAAGGGAAGGGGCTTCCCTGCGACTCGCATTACGATACTGCTAGATTCTTCTCTCGCTGGCAGGCTTGAGCAGGCTGCAAGGAGAGGGGACGACGGAGACGACGACTGAAGGAGACGACGACTCCAACAGACGAGCCTCTCACGCACGCCGACAGGGTCGGCGGAGTCTGAGTATCGTTTAACTGATCCCCATCCCCAGCGGCGTGGCCTGGGCCCCACTGGCCGATTTACCCCCCTAGATGGGGATATAGGTCGTTCCCTTCGGGCTTCGAGGGGTACATCCCCAACTGGGGGGTAATTTGGTAGGGGTCTCGAAGGGGATGGGCATGGGGATGGGGATGGGGATCGGATAAACGATACCGAGAGTCGTGACGCCGACGAGACCTCGGTAGCAGTTGCGCCGAATCCGGCAGCCAGCCGGACAGCCAGGGCTTCCAGGGGTGCGTGCTGCTGCCCTGCCTGCGGCCCCGCCAGTCGGGCGCGCGGGGCGCGGAGGCCCGGTGGCGAGCGGAGGGGGCGAGCGTGCGGACGGACGAGGGGGAAGGGCAAGTGCACTCTGCGGCCCAGCCTCCCCCCACGGCAGCATCCGAGCCCTGAGGAGGAGCAAGGAGGAAGGGGAGGAGAGGAGATGGATCCTGGTCCTGTCTGCGTGGGCGAGAGAGGCCCAGAGTGCTGTTGGCAGAGGGCAGGTGGTGGGTGCGCACAACGGCCCAGATGGTCGCGAAAACCGCTTCCTGATCACGTCCAGCCGAACCGCGAGTGGGGGAGCAGAGGAAGGAAGAGGAGGAAGGATGGAGCAGCACACGCGAAGGGGGGAGGATAGGGAGGAAGAGGATGGTCTCTCGCCCGGGATCCGAGCTCACTTGCACACAGTGAGCCCTTGACTGCAGCGACAAGCAGACTGTCTCCTGGCAAGGGCTCCAAGATGCTGCCCCCAGGCCCTCCAGGATGCCCACAAGAACACGCGCAACAGATACGGAGAAAGAGGACGACGAGTCAACAACAACTGCGCGCAGACAGCACGGCAAGGAATGGCAAACAACACTTACGATATCGAAAGCCACACCTACGCTCTTTTGGGGGTCGGCGGACTTGCGCAAATCGCTTGAAACTTCATACAGCAGGTGGTTGGTGCTCGTTCGGTCGAAGGCTGCAGTTCAGAGCCGGGATCACTGAAGATTCAAAACCCCAACGTCCTCCAGGGATTAGACACCACTGCCAGAGATTCGACCTCCCCTGTGAGATTTGACTCATCGCCTCCAAATCCTCCACATCATTATTATCATCATCACCATCATCACCATCATCATCATCATCATCCTCATTCTCATCAGCTTCAGCAGCATCAGTATCAGCATCAGCATCAGCATCAGCATCATCATCAGCACCATCAGCATCAGCATCAGCTTCAGCAGCATCAGTATCAGCATCAGCATCAGCATCATCATCAGCACCATCAGCGACAGCATCATCATCACCATCATCACCATCATCATCATCATCATCATCATCATCATCATCATCATCATCATCCCACTCAATTCACTGTTTCCTCCTCCCCCTCCCCCACCCACATCTCCTCCCGCTTCCCCATCCACAATATTTTGGTGCTTCTCCTCCTCCTCCTCCGCCTCCTGGACATCCTGTTCCTGGTTCTCATCCTCCTTCTCTCCGGATGAAAGAGGGGGCATGGGGTTGGCACCCATACGCTAAGTAGTCACACTGGTTCGGGTTCTGAATTTAGCCCTGGTCTACAATGGCAAGGATCGCCGCCATGACCACCACCGTTACCATTGCCGTCGACTTCGACGACGTCCTCTTCACCGTCGTCATCAGGACATGACGAGTCTACCCTCCTGTGGCGCGAAGTCGCCATCGACGTTCCAAGGCCGAAAGCCACCATCGTCAAAAACAGCAGAGCGGGTGATGGCACCACATATCAAGAAATTATCCAGCTTGATATCCCTGTGGACTACGCGGCGTTTGTGGCAATGCGCAACCTCCACTCCCAAGCGCGCGGGGATTGATACTGAAAGAGAGATAACTACCAAGAGCACGACAAGACCCGCATGTGTATGGGAAAATAACCATGGAGTTGAGCGGAGCTTGGCAACAGATGGGCGCAAGAAAATTGAGCATAGAGCATGCAAACTACGTAGTATCTGCAATCGCACAATCTCCCCTGTTCTCCTCTCAAAGTTTTCGGAGTCTGTGGAATTTTGCACAACGGCAAACCAGAAAATAAGGCCAGCCAGACGCCAAGGCGGCAAGACATACCGTGTAATACTCACAACTCTCGATGTAGCCACAACGGGACTCGCCATGCACGAACAACGGACTGAGAAGAGGAGAAGGAGAACTCCAGGTCGCCGGAGGCCTCTGGAGGCCCGAAGGCGGTGGAGACGTCCACCTGCCACGATATCCGATCTTCCTGTTCTGCTCGGTGCGAGGGACTCTGCGCCTCAGAATAACGTCACTCCCTGACAGGCCTTTTACAATGAGTGGCAAGGGAAGGATCGAGATGACAAAAGAAGCAAGAGAGAGCCTCGATCCTCATCCTCCTCCTCACCCTCCTCCTCCTCCTCCTCCTCCTCCTCCTCCTCCTCCTCCTCCTCCTCCTCCTCCCTCCTGGCCCTCGTCCTCGGCGGGAGTTGGGAAGAGAAGTCTCGGAGAGAGATCTCCATGCTGACACTCGTCAGACCACTGACATGATGGTGCGCCTTCTAACACAGCACCATCGGCGCCCGCCCGCAGCAACACTGGACGGCGGGGCCCCTCGGAAGGGGGCACGAAGCTGCGCTGGCAGGGAAGGCAGACTGGGGCTCTGAAGCGCTACCTGGGGCACCGCCGCACCTCTCCGAATTTCCAAAAAGGTGGCTGGGGCGTGGTGGCTGAGCTGGTTTCGAACATATGAGCCCACCATGTCTAATCATCTCTTTGCAATCCGGCGGGGGTCCTGCGCGGGCAGTCTGCACAACCGGCCAACCACCATGTAGATGACGGAATGGTGGTTGGGCCTGTTCGTAGTAGCTCGTGACTGCGCAGGCAGACATCAGCAACCACCAGCGCACTAACCACCAAGTCGTTTAGTCGAACACACAGCTCCTGCCCAGTAGAGCGCCCCGAACAGCACCGAAACCGAGGCAGCCGAAACCGAACCAACCGAAGGCAGCCCGAGTGGCACAATGACGCAGCAACCGACCAAACCGAACCAATCGAATCGCGGGCACGCTTGATCGCCTGCTCATGCTCCTCCCAATCGTCATGCTCATCCTCACCCTGTCTCAAAACCCTGGCGCACCCCCGAGATCATGTCGCGCGCGATCCGCAACAAGCCCTCCTGAGGCAGGTTCCGCACTTCGCGCAACCTGCGGTCGGCTGTCGCTGCGACAAACCACTCTTCATCCCCCCCTGCTCCACCTCCAAGCCTCCCCTTCTTAACCCTCCTACTTCGTATCCCTACCTCCTCCTCCTCCCTCCTCCTTCCTCTTTCCTCCAGGTTCCGACCCGCGGAGGTTTTCCCACGAGGGCAGGCCACCTCCTCCAGTCGGGGCCCATGCGCGTTGCCCCCGCTCCAGCCGGCGATGCAGTAGCTGGCGATGGCGACCACGTACGACGATTTCTGTCTGACCGTCGCCGCCGCCTGCCGAGGCAGCCCCTGCGCGCAGCTGCGCGGAGGCTTGGTTATGCGGCCCGAAACGGCCGCCGACCACACATGCGCGACCGGACCATGCTGGCGCGCGCCGACGGTCCCGCAGTAAGATATCCAGCAAAGCACGTTGACGGTAGGCGTGAAGGTATTGTGGAGTTTCCTGACGACGCTGGTCCGCAGCCGCCGCTGCTTCGCTCTTCGAAACAACTTCTGTTGGTTCCTCTGGGGGGGCGACGCGTTCCAGGCGTTCGGGACCTTTCTGGGCAAAGCCACATTCTCCAGTTGGGGCCTGTGGGATGCATCACCCCCCAGACACCACCCGCCTCCTGCTCAATTACCTGTCTGAGAATGGGGGAGAGAAGGACTCCCGAGGGAGACGGGTCCTGGACCCTGGGGCTTTCCCCCCAAGACGGACTTGCCACCCTGTGCCGTTGTCTGACAGTCCCCGGGCCCGTGGAGAGCCCCAAGAGCCCGAAAACGGCGACAAACAATCAGGACCCGCTTCACCCGTGGCGACTGCCGCAGCCCGCTGAGTCGACGTTCGAGGACTCTCTGGACTGCATCGGCTGAACGATTTGAGTATCGTTTATCCGATCCCTATCCCCAGCGGCGTGGCCTGGGCCCCACTGGCCGTTTACCCCCCTAGATGGGGATATAGGCCGTTCCCTTCGGGCTTCGAGGGGTGCATCCCCAACTGGGGGGGTACTTGGGTGGGGGTCTCGAAGGGGATGGGCATGGGGAATGGGGGTCAACGCCGCGACCGATACGATACTGACGACTGCCAACGCTGCGATTGCACCCAAGCAGCCGACGGAGGCTGCGGGGGCCCACGCTGCGACCGTCGAGCGGAACTCAAGTCATGCGTTCCACGCCCACCATGGGCACCGTCCCGCTGAGGCCGTCGGCAGGATGGCCAAGATCAACTTCTCCCCGCTGCTCGAGGAGGATCTCCGCTTTGGAGACGAGCTGCATTCGAGTCCCATCCCGTGAGCCAACCCGCAGAAGTTCGATAGCAGGGATCAGATGGATCCCCAGCTGCTGAATCAGATGGATACCAAGCTGCTGAACCTGATGGTTCCCAACGATCAGGTGAATCAGATAGCCACCGGGGGTCGCCAAAGCCATGAACATGATGATCGACAAATCCCAAACGATCGAGGAGGAAATCCGCTATGCCATCGAGAGACGCAGATGCCATGTTGAGGTTGCTTGCCAGGTCATCCTATGGCGCCGACTGTTGGAGGTCATGTCTTCACACAATCCCTTTTGCAGGATATACAGCAAAAATGCCCATGGCAGGGCCAAGGGTTCCGCTTAGACGCAGTCCTTGACCAGCGATGTGCTGCCGACCCTCCCTGCATTGTTTCTTGAGAGTGTTCCGTAGCATCCCACGGTCGTGTTTCAGCGCATGCCAAGGGGTTTCTCCTGTTACATGCTCCTGCCTGGCGGGAAATCTCTCTGACCGCCCGCTCCCCCGCTGCAGTATGTAGCGTGGCATCACACATAGCAGCGCTGGCATTCCAGTGCTGAAACCTGTTAACCCAGTGAAGGGTATATTCTGTACGCACCCTGCTCCTGCCTCGCGGGAACTCCCTTTGCCCGCTCGCCCCCCCCCGCTGCAGGATGTAGCGTGGCATCACGCGTAGCAGCATTGGCACGTCAGTACCAAAACCTGTTTATCCAGTGAAGCGCTTCTTCTGCACACTGCTCTCCCTATCCTCCTCCTCCATCGCCTCCCTCCTCCTCCTCCTCCTCCTTCCCTCCCGCCCAACCTCCTCCTCGTCCTCCTCCTCGTCCTCCTCCTCCTTCGCCTCCCTCCCCGTCCCCGTAGGGCCCGACCGGCACTCCTCCTCATCCTCCCTCCCCGTCCCCGCAAGGGCCAGCTGACCGAGGGGATCGTGTCTGCATCGATTCGAACGGGCCGATCCGAACTGGCGGAACCGAACCGGTCGTGAAAACGCAACCGAACCAGCCCAACCGAACCAGGCGAACCGAACCGGCGGAATTGGACTGGTCTGCGAAACGAACTGAATCGGTCGAACCGAACCGGTGGGCGACGGGAACCGAACTGGACGAACCGAACCGGGCGCACATCGAACCGAAACGAACCGAACCGAACCGCGGCCTATTAGAGAGGCGGGAAGCGGGGCGGTTGCGGGGTCGTGGGAGGCGCGTGCTGGGCGAAGACTCTGCCTCACGCTCTCCTCATCATGCCCCTCGTCTTATCATCTCCTCCCCGTCCTCCCCTCCTCTCCGGATCCTCCTCCCTGTCCCCTCTCCCTCCTTTTCCTGCCCTTGCCAACTTCGGCGCACACCCTCGCGGATCGCGCTCAATTCAGAGCTCCACCAGAGGCCCAAGTAGAGGCGACCCCGTATCTCGCGGGTGGCGCTCCATAGGGAGCTCCACGTACGGCCCAAGTGGGGGCGCTCATATAGCGCCAGCAAATTCATGGCGCGAATCGCGCCCCCTAGAAGAATGCACCTGCGGCCAGAACAAAGGGGTGGCTAAAACATCGACGCCAACATGTTGGCACACCCCCCACGTGGATCGCGCTTCAAAAGGAACTCCACCAACGGCCCCAATGGAGGCGCTCTTATAGCGTCGGCGCACCCGTGTCAGTCTCTCGCCTGGGTCGCACCCCATGCGGAGCTTCGACGGGGCCCCCAGCAGGTGCGCTCCATGGCGTCGACTCGCCATGTTCGGCTCACCCATTACATGGATCGCGTCCCAGTGGGAGCTCTACCTACGGCCCAGGTGGTGTAGCCCGCATAGCGTCGGCAAGCCATTCTCGGCATACGCACACATGGACCGCTCCGAACGACCCATACAGGCATCAACAAAGACCCAACACATCAATCATCGAATCTCTCATCTCGGTCTGGCTCCTCCTCCCCTGCGGCGCCTCTCCGTCAGGGAGGCGTCGGCCTTCTCCGCCACCATCATGAACACGCCGCCCTCAGAGAACGTCCTGCACACGCGGAATCTGCTTCGTGGGGCCAGAGCACATAGGGCCGGAGGACCGCAGCGCACCGGCGACGTGTCGCCGACGCCTGGATGGAGGTCGGGCTCTGGATCGTGCCGCACCGCCGATGCCTCGGCGATCTGGCGCGACCCTTCGAACCCCCTCTCGGCGGCTCGCCCGGGGGTGAGGCGAGAAGGAGAAGGCCCTCTCTCGGCCACAGGCAAGAGTGGCCCTGCGCAAGAGTGACCCTTTGGTGCGCGGCCAAGGGGGGGCCCTTTGGAGACACCACTGGGCTCGCAAGCCACTGCCATCGCATCGCATTGAACGATCGGGGGGCCCCACTTGGCCCGCACGAAAGGTCACTCCGGCGAAAGGTCACGCCTACGTTTAGTCGACTCTCAGAAGGCTCGGAAGTCTCCCGGCCCTCTGAGAAGCTGTCGCAGCCTCTTCCCCGAAGACGCAGGAAAAAACTTCTCTGAAGGCGCGAGTGCTTCTCGGGCCGGGCGAAAGGGGGGGATAACAAAGGGGGGGGTCGAGAATCAGCTCACGTAGCTGATTTTCCCGGCGCCTCCCGGCGCCGGAGGCGCCCACGTATCGAGGAATGAGCCCCTCGGTGGGGCTGAAACCAGCTGCATGCAGCAGATTTCGAACCCCCCCCTTTCCCTGTTCCAACCCTTTCGTCCGGCCCGAGCGTCTGAGAAGCCCCACCGCCTGCCGAGAAGGCCTTCTCCTTCTCCCCTCCTCCCCCTCGCTCGCCGCCGACCCTCTGCTCCGGACCTCCGCGCGGGGCACCGCACGAATGCCGATGCCGCCGCTCCCAGGACCTCTCTCTTGGAAGTCCCGAAACGGTGCGGTGACGGACTGTGCGGTGACCTCAAAATCCCCCAAGACCTCACCGCACGGTCCGTCAAAGCACGGTTTTGGGACCTCGGATGCCCCGGTCGCCCGAGACGTCCTCGGAGAACGACCCGAATCCCAAAAATCGTGCGGTGACGCCGAATCCCCACCGACTCACCGCTCGGTGTGGTCACCACCCCGTTTGGGGACCCCCGATCTCTTGGGGGGTAGCGCGCCCTGGCCGGGGTCCTGGGGCGAGCGCGGCCGTGGAGGCGAGGGTCTCCCAGGAGAGGGCAGCGGCAGCGGTGCAGTCAAAACTAGAGAGAGAGAGAGGGCAAGGATGCACGACAAGAACGCAGGGGCCGTGGAAAGCCATGCCGATACCTTTCCGAGAGGGGCTGGCCATCGAGAGTGGTGAAGGATGGAGCGAAGAGTCACGGACGCAAGGGTACCCGCCCCTGTAATCGGTGTCGACTGGGCGACCTGGGCCACGGGCTCGCGCGGGGAGGGCGAGCCGCCAGGGCCACGCGGGCGACCGCGGTGGTGAGCGAGGGGCGCGCCTGGTGCCCCCGCGCCCGCCCCTTGCGGGCCCGCCCTGCTGGAGAGGCTCGGCCCCGCGTTCCCGCCACTGTAGTGCGCCCTCCCCGGCGAGGGCCCCAATAGGCCGTTCCGAAGAGGCCCCGACATGCATCCAAGGCGCTTCTGGCGAAAGGCCACCCGTTTGGCACGCATGCCTGACGCATCAGCATATCATCCCGCTCCCCCTCGGCTGCGTCATCACTCCACTGTTCCCTTCTCCTCGTCGCCAATACCCCCTGCACCTCGCACTCCCAACGAAACCTAGTAAGCCCCCTTTCTTTCGGAAGGAGGATGCGAATGGAGAGTGGCAGGAGGCGAGGGGATGCGAATGGAGGGTGGCAGGAGGCGAGGGAGGAGAGACGAAGGAGAAAGAGTGGAAACAGGAAGATGAGGGGGAGGATCAGGAAAAGGCGTCCTGAGGAGTTCGATGCAGTGCGGATGCTTGCCAATCTTTCGCCACAGCTTTGCTTCCTCGCGGGCGCGGAAGAGAGAGCATGTTACTCTGACATTATCTCCTCCTCCTCCTCCTCCTCCTCCTCCTCTTCCTCCTCCTCCTCCTCCTCCTCCCTCTTGCTCTTTCCTTCCAACGCTGCTCATCGCCGACCTCTCTTCCCCCCGACGCATCCCTGTCATCGTTCACCCCCCACAAGGGCACATGGAAAAGACGGGTCCTCAGAGAAACGGATCCTTAACTCCAGGGGCTGTCTCCAGGACCAGCATCTTCCTCCTAAGTCTTTTTGTTGATGGTCCAAGGGCGCGTGGAGGGCCCAAGGAGGGCAAACACTGAGAAAAATCCCTTTAGGCCGTCTTGGGGCCCCTCTTGGGCTGTTCTTGGCCCTTCTTGGGGGGGGGCCTCTTCGGCAGTATGGGGCGAGGCCGTCTTGGCGTGCTCTGGGGCCATCTGGGGGCCATCTTGGACGCCCTATTGGGGCCCTTCTGGGCCGCTTCGGGGCTCTCTTGGGTCGTCTTGGGACTTTCTTGTGCTGTCTTAGGGCCCTTTAGAAGGGCTCTTGGGCGGGCGTTTTGGGGGCGACTTAGAAAGGCCTTCCGGGCCGCTGTAGGCGGTCAGAAGGCAGAACAAACGGTAACGCTAAAAACACATTAAAACACACCAAAAACTGATGGGAAACTTGCAAATTTGGCTGTTGAGCCTACCTTGGGGGAGCTCGTTGGGCCCTATTGGGCTGTCTGGGAACGCTCTTGAACCATCTTGGGTCTCTCGTGGGCCTCTGTGCAGCCGTCTTCGGCCAACTTGGGGGGCCCTGGGGACAACTGGGGGCGCTAGAAATCGACGCACTCGCCAGTCGGGGCTCCAGCCTGGAACCCCTGGCCCTTGTCCCCCGCTATATTATACATACATGCATGCATGCATGCATGTATGATGCAGATATACATACATGTGGGAGAGCATGCCCTAGGGGCCCGAGAAGTAGAAAGGAGGTCACATCGTAGCTGTGCCATTTCCTTTTGCCTCCCTGTCGGACGCCCCTCCCCTCCCTCCCTTTTCTCGAGCTCCGGAAACTGTCCCCCCTCCCTTGTGGCTCCCCTGCCAGACGCCTACCCCCCCCTCCCACCGCTTCTCCCTGCGACCCCAGCAAACTACCTCCACCCCCCCTTTGTCGGAAGCATTCCCCCACCTCCCCCCCGCCCCACGGAAGCTATCACCCACTCCCTTCGACATCCCCTTCCTGAAGCCCCCACCTTTCCTCCGCGGCCTCTGCAAGCTACCCCCCTCCCCCCTTCGACTTCCCCAACAAGAAGCACCCCCCCTCATCCCCCCTATCCTTTGTTTTCGCGCTCTGGAAGCCCCCCCATCTCCCCTTTCGACCTTCCTGCCGGAAGCCCCCTCCCCCTTCCCCCCTCCCCTAGCGCAAACCTCTGGAAGGCTCCTGGAGAAACATCGATGGCGACGAACACGTCCACATCCGTGCCCTCGCGGTATTGATGACCAGGCGCAGTCCCATGGATACGCGATGTCGCGGATACGTGCTGCGCGGGACATGGGCGCAAAGCCACCCCGTGGCCATGCCGCGGCCTGAGAGTCCGGACTGCGAGGCCGTGGAGATAGGCACGCCTCCCGCCCGCGAGACGAATATCGCCGCCTCGCCTCCGCCAGGGCCTCCAGACACTCGGGTGCGCCGAGGGGGGCGCAGCATCGGCCAAACAACGACGCTACGGCCGATCCATGGCCACACGATGACCTCGCGGCCCAAGCAAAAAACAGAGCCTCTGGGATGGCCAAACGGCCTTTCGAAGGACACTCTGGACCCCCGTGTTATGCAAGACCCTCGCGGTCCACAGAGGCAGCACGGGAAGAGGGTGGATTCGACGGTCAGCGCACCGCGGCCCCAACCGTTCGCGCGGACACGGGGGTGCCAGGGGGCGCTGTGAAAAACATCCACCGACCCTGTCCGCGTGTGTCAAGGGTTGGGCCGTTCGAGTCGCCCTCTTCGTCGTTCGTTAATCGTCGTCTCTGCCGGCTCCTCTCTTTGCGGACCCCATTACCCTGGGTCTGTCACAGCTCCCCCCCTTGTCCTGGGCCCTCTTCCCAAGCGCGCCAGCCAACGCGAAATTGAGTAAAGTCGTAATTCAATCAAAGGGAAGCCCCCTCCCTTTGATCCCTGCCCCGTCGGGGGGAGGGTCCCGGGGGGGGCCCGGGGGAAACGCGCCTTGGTCCGGGGGGAGATACGCCTCGGTCCCAGATGAGATACGCCTCGGTCCAGGGGGGGGGGGGGCACCCAGATACACATCCCTCCGGGGGAACCCCGTTCCCAAAACAGCCCCAGGACGGGCCAAGAGTGCCCGAAGAGGCTCCGAAGACGGTCCAAGAGGGCCCTGCATGGCAGAACGATCTGCCCAGAACGTCTTCACGGCCCCCTGGGGGCCAATGGCGCCTGCAAAATGCCCCAAGAGGCCTCCAGGAACACTCCCAAGGTGGCCCCCAGAAACACATATCATAACTGTTCCAGTAGTTGTTCAATGTTTGCTGCTCTCGCCTCTTCCGCTGCCCGACGATCCAAAAAGGCCCAAGAAACCCCCAATATCGCCCCAAAACGGCCCCAAGTCCTCCAAGAGGTTCCCAACATGACCCAAGAGGGCTCCAAGACGGCCCGAGACGCCTCCAAGACAGGCCAAGAGGCACCCAAGACGGCTCTAAGAGGGTACCCGGACGAGGAGCCCAAACGGACATCCAAAGCCCTCGCCCCCGAGAAGCTGTCAGGAGGCCCCAAGAGGCCTCGAAGGCGCCATCACAAGGCCCCCTGAAAGCCCCTGGAGGCACCCAAGAGGCTCCCAAAAGGCACCCCCAGAGTCTTCCAAAACGCCCCCGAACTGCCCACCAGAGGCCTCCGAATGCTCGTCCTCATCCTCCCACTCCTGCTCCACGGCGTCATCCTGCTCCTGGTCCCCCTGGTCTTCCTCCTTTTCCTCCTGCTCCTCCTCCTCCTCCTCCTCCTCCTCACCCTTTCCCTCCTCCTCATCCCCCTCCTTCGCATCCTTCCTTCCTTCCGCACAGCTTAAAGCCTGGTCTGGCTAGCCGAATGCCTATGGCTACGTGTTGAAGCCGCATGCCTGTGCAAGAAACCCCGCGCACGAGTCAACTGCAATCAGCTCGGCGGCAAGATGTGAAACTGCTGTCTCATGGTACGTTCCCCCCATTGCAACTACTCTGATAATCCGTTTCCCGTGCCTACACCAATGTGCTTCCATCACCCAGGCGAATGCTGAGCAGGCAGATCCTCTCCGCTCTCCGTCGCAATGAATCTCCACGCTCGCGCCCTCCAGCTTGAAGTCCGGATCCTTTGGCTCAACGTGTTGCCAGGACTTCTGCATGTCCATGGTTGCGTTGACCAGGTGGTCGGCGCGCTGGTTCAACTCACGTCTCTTCCAGACCAAGGGGTCCATCCACGCTTGGTGCGGGTAGCGTCCCCGCTCCACTAGCTGAGCAAGTTGATCAGATACCCGGTGAAATGCTGGCAGATGATGTAAGACATTCGCAAGGGGCGAAGTGTATCCCATCAGAAAATCGACCGCGGGTCTACGATCGCATACAATCACGAAGAGTCCAGCCTCACAATCCCATTGGAAATCCTGGTGCGTGAAATTCGGCATGGCATGTGCAGCCGGGAGCTCGTCCAAAGTGTACCGCTTCATCCGGAGGCGTTTGACTGCTGGTGGAGCTGGCTCTGAATCGATCGCCGAAGCTTTGCGGGCGTCGGGGAGACCCCACGCGACGGAGACAGAGTTCGCGAAGGAGGGGAACTCGCGCATCCAATCTTGCAGGGACATCGATTGGTCTCGCCTGGACCTCCAGTCAGCACCAAGGGACGAACAAAGTACGTCTTCCCATACAGCAAATTTACCAGGGCATGCGTGGACCAAATTCAGCCGGCGACGCTTAGAATAATGTTCGTGTTTGCCAAACTCCCACCACATCCTGCTTCTGAAGACGCGCGACTCGTGCAATAACTGTCCGCCCCCACATGGTGGCATAGATGTTTCACGCCAACGCCACGCGCTCTTGTAGGCAGCGGTCAGTACTCTGATGTACAACGGCTTGATGCTGCATAGTGTAAGCCACGAAGTAATCCTAGCAGACGTCCGGGCGTTGCAAGAGAACTGATGCTCATCCGGCTTCCGCTTCATGTTCAGAGCGCGCCTGGGGAATTGCCACCCCCATGAACGAATGCGTCCAAGCAAACCTTTCGTCAAGTGCCATGCGCACGATGCGATCGTTGCACAAGCAGCCGGCCCTGTCGACCAAGCCCGCAACTTGCTAGCGACGCAACCTGGTCCTCTCAGCACGCGGGAATTCATCCAGAAGGAGGCCTCCGCTTTGCAAAGCAGGTACTCTACAGAAGCTTCCGTCTCCGCCCGAGCACTCAAGCAAGCCCCCAAGATAACGAGACGGTCTGCCACTGCAAAGGGTAAGGGGCGTCGGCATTGAGGCGGATGAACTTGGAAGGGCGTCGCGCCTATGTCTGCATCAACCAGGGACCCGCGCGCCATGCATTCCAGGGGCGACGGTTTCCAAGTAAGCTGGAGGCTCGAGATCGCCTCCGTGAGGCCCCCCGGTCATCTCCAAGAACTCCTCGGGGGTCTGCGGAAGAATGATGAAGTTGTCGGCCCATATCATATGCGATAGGCTGTAACTGCCCTCCGCGCCGTCGAAACGAAAACCGAAACCTCTGGAACGCCACTGCGAAAGAACAGGCTCCAAGATGTGCTCCACCATCGTGTTGAAACGCTCGGGCGTTTCGACCCCCAATTGCCTCCCTCCAACCTGCAAAGGAAAACGATCATATTGAGGCGTGCCTGGTAAGGATATTGAGCAACGCATGAAGGACATCTCCCGCAAGATGGCCTGCACCAGGGTTGGGTGCGCGCCGCGAGATCTGAGGATTGAGGCCAGATGGTGGCGTTGGATATTGTCGATGTAGCCTTGATATCCAGTACGGCAATGATCAAAGCTAGACCCCACTGGCGAGCGACAGAAATGGTCTGCATGAGAATGGAAAGCACGTCATCACACGAAAAGCAACGTCGGAATCCAAATGTGCCAACAGGAGATACCGGCAGAGATGAAGTCACCAGAGGCTGCAAGCTACTCATGTACCATTTAGCAAAAGAGTCAATCTTGCAGATGAAACGGAAATCTGCGAAGTCCGACGGCCTGACACACTTTGGGATGCCCGAGAGATCCATAAATTTCCAAGACGGCGGATCCGCGGCGTCGTTGTTCAGATACCGATTTTTGAACACATGCCAAATGCGGATAACAAGCTGGTACGGCAGCGCCTTGTAAATCTCCGGGGGGGCGCCATTGCCTCCAGCAACCTTCCTGCCCTTCATCCCGGCGCGGCCCGAGAGGACGTGGAAAAAGCGGAGGGCGGGTGGCCTAAGACCGCGCAGCTTGTGACCAAGACCCTCAGCGCGAAGACGATCGAGTCGCGCTCGCTGGTCACCGGTGTCGTTCGACGGGTTGGCACATCTACCGGCACCAAAATCACGTAGCTTCCGTGCCCAAGCTTCCCGGTCAGCTGAAGGGGCCCCGTCTATGGTGAGATGGGCGGGCATCGGCTGCTGGGGCTTGTTGCTGGAGAGGCGAGCAAGCTTGCGCTCAGCACGAAGCTCCTGGGCCTTCATGATGGCCCGTCGAAGGTTCAGCACCGCCTGTTCCGATCGCACCCCTCTGAGTTGGCTACTGTCCGCCGCGCTGCCTTCACAGGTGCGCCAATGGAGTTCTCGTGCATAGAGCGTTTCTTCCCCACAGTGGTGTAATCGACGGACGTGGCCATCTCGAGTAAACTTGATTGGAGATTCTCTAAGGAATGCGTCACTAGATCCAGGGAGCGCGTACGGTACAACTCCAACTCTTGTTCGGAGCTGGGAGCCCAGCCGGCGAGGGTTGGCACCTGGAGCGTTGCTGGCACCCACGTCTCTGGGAAAGTGTACTCCCCGATGACAGGGCGATGGTCGGACTTCGCGAAAAACTTTCTCTTGAATTTCTGCACCCGGGCCCACCCAGATATACTTGAGGATGAACATAGAAAGTCAATTTGCGATCGAATGCTTCGGTCGGTCTTGCAGCGTCGAGTCCAAAGGGGCACGTTGCGAGGCTGCGTGGCCAGGGCGTCCGCGGGAGCCTCGAAGGTGTTGTCCGCCCGCACGCCCAAAGCAGACAGCCATGATACTGTGGCACTCACGTACCCCATGGGGTGCCGGCTTCGGCGCGAAAATACCATACTACCAGAAACAGCATCAACATTCTCTGGGAACTGGACGTTCGCATCAACACCGACAATCACGTTGAAGATTATGTTAGGACGTGCACATCGAATTCTATCCACGAAGTCCACGGATTCCGCGAACACCGTACTAGCTCTCCCACCTTCCTCAAGGTGGTCTAAAATATGTGCTGAAATATAGATGGTGGTGGACACCACCAAGCCACACCAATAAGCACCCCAAGAGAAATCCTTGCACGCTGACATCCAAAGTCTAGGAATAATAACTGCGCAGTCACAATCCAAAGATGAGAATACGGTATGGCCGCTAAACGTGAAACCGTGAATCCGCCCCCATGTCGGAACTTCTTGAAGACAGGCCGTAAAATCCCCCAGAAAACTTCGGAAAGCTTTACAGATTTTGCCAGCCGCTGAAACCCCTTTCTTCGCAGTGTTCCAGGGTACCATGGTGGCGTGTGAAACTTGGAGGCCTTGCACCTCTCACTTTTTGCGGCGATGCGTTTTCGGCGCCTGCGTCATTCCCTCCCCGTCGAGACCGAAGGCGGCACCAGTGTTGACATCGTTCCAGGCGACGTCGCCCTTGGAGTCGATGGTGCCCATCTCGACCTCTGTGTCCCCGTTGACGGCATACAAAATCCAGTACGGGGAATAAGAACATTCAGCGTAAGCGTTGGCGTTGTTGCTCTTGAGCTTCTCATCGAGGAACGCCTTGGCCTTCCCGATCTTTTCGTACCTCGCTTGCTCTTCGGGGGACTTCTGAACGACGGTCCAAAGCTGCCGGCCCTTGTAGTAAAGCTCAGGGTCGGCGAGGAAGTCCCTGAAATTCAAAGCGATTTCGGTGGCGTACGGAGGGACCACATACACCCGGACTCGGTTTGAGCGGGGGCCGAAGATCTCAAAGTCCTTCACTTTGGGCTTCAGAAGGTCGGGAAGCTTAGCCACCAAATTGTCCACGAACGGCTGAGCCTCAAAACGAGATATCCCTTTGGACTTCCTGTCGTCGTTCGTGCTGAAGTTGTCGATGTTGAAATATTGTGGGATGAACGTGGCAGGAGAAGAACATGAACCGTTTGCACTGCCTACATCACTCCCTTGGCTGCGGGCCTCGATCACCCTCTGAACCTCATCTTCCCCTTCAACTCTGCAATCTCCCCGGTATGCCCTTCAACCTTCTCTGAAAGAGTTCCCAATTGCTCTTTGACGGGCGTGAGCTGCTCACTGACTGCGGTTTCCACGGTCCCCTTGATATGAGAAGCCATTTTCTGGAAGAATTGCTCCTCGGTCATGTTACCGATGGTTGCCATGATAGCAAAAGAGATGAGAGTGAAAGAAAAGCAAAAGGGGGTGCAGGACCACACGACGGGCGGGACCGCCTGGCAAACCTGCTTGCCGCTCTTGGCACTTGAGCCAAAACTTGAGCCAAAACTCCTTTTCCTCCTCCTCCTCATCCTCCTCCTCCTCCTGCTTATCCTCCTCACCACCACCACCACCATCATCAGCATCAGCATCAGCATCAGCATCAGCATCAGCATCAGCATCAGCATCAGCATCAACACCAGCATCAGCATCAGCAGCATCATCATCATCATCAGCAGCATCAGCAGCATCAGCATCAGCACCAGCACCAGCATCATCATCATCATCATCATCATCATCATCATCATCATCATCATCATCATCGTCATCATCATCATCAGCAGCATCAGCAATATCAGCATCATCATCATCATCATCATCATCATCATCACCATCATCAGCATCAGCATCAGCATCATCAATATCAGCATCAGCCTCGGCCTCAGCCTCAGCCTCATCCTCATCCTCATCCTCATCCTCATCCTCATCCTCATCCTCATCCTCATCCTCATCCTCATCCTCATCATCATCATCATCATCATCATCATCATCATCATCATCATCATCATCATCATCAGCGTCCTCGTCATCATGCTCCCCCCCTCCCCCGCGTGCTCTTGCCCCGGTGTTCCGCCAGCTAACATCGACCTCGTCATGCCCCTCCTCCTCCTCCTCCTCCTCCAGCACCTGTGCCACTGGGATCCCTCATCAGGAAAACAGGCGGGTAGCCTCCCGTTCGTCACCCCAGGTGCTCCTTCGGGACCCTGGGAGAGAGAGAGAGAGAGAGAGAGAGAGAGAGAGAAAAAAAAAAAAGCCTGGCGAAGGACCCAACCATATGCAGTTGTGAGTACCGTCGTTGTGAGTATCGCAATCGGTGGAGATCCCTATGGGCCACGAAAGGCTGTCCTGGGCGGGGGAGACGCATGTGAGTGCAGCCACTGGGGCCTTCGGCCTATAGTGGCCACGAAACGCTTCCCTGGGTGGGTGGAGGCGCATGCGAACTGCGCCACTGGGGTTTTCGGTTGAGCTCCCTGTGGGGCCACGAAACGCTGTCCTGGACGGGGGAGACGCATGCGAGTGCAGCTGGGGCGTTCGGTGGAGCCCCATATGGGGCCACGAAACGCGGTCCTGGGTGGGGGAGACGCATGCGAACTGCGCCACTGGGGCTTCGGTGGAGCTCCTTACGGGGCTACGAAGTTGGCCTGGGTGGGGGAGACGCATGCGAACTGCGCCACCGGGGCCGTCGGTGGAGTTCCCTATGGGGCCACGAAACCCTGTCCTGGGTGAGGGAGACGCATGCGAGAGCAGCCACTGGATCCGTCGGTGGGGCTCCCTATGGGGCCACGAAACGCGGTCCTGGATGGGGGACACGCATGCGAGAGCAGCCACTGGCGCCGTCGGTGGAGCTCCCTATGGGGCCACGAAGCAGTGTCCTGGGTGGGGGGGGTGGGGGAGACGCATGCGAGAACAGCCACACGGGCCTTCGGTTGGGTTTCCTATGGGGCCACAAAACGCGGTCCTGGGTGAGGGAGACGCATGCGAGAGCAGCCACTGGCGCCTTCGGTGGAGCTCCCTATGAGCTCCCCATGGGGCCACGAAACGCTGTCCTGGGTGGGGGAGACGCATGCGAGAGCAGCCACTGGCGCCTTCGGTGGAGCTACCTACGGGGCCACGAAACGCTGTCCTGGGTGGGGGAGACGCATGCGAACTGCGCCACTGGGGCTTTCGGTTGAGCTCCCTGTGGGGCCACGAAACGCTGTCCTGGGTGGGGGACGGGGAGACGCATGCGAGAGCAGCCACTGGATCCGTCGGTGGGGCTCCCTATGGGGCCACGAAACGCGGTCCTGGATGGGGGACACGCATGCGAGAGCAGCCACTGGCGCCGTCGGTGGAGCTCCCTATGGGGCCACGAAGCGCTGTCCTGGGCGGGGGAAACGCATGCGAGAGCAGCCATTTGGGCCTACGGTGGAGCCCCCTGTGGGGCCACGAAACGCGTGAGGGGTGTGCCGATGGAGGGAGGAGGGGGAGGGAGGAGGGGGAGGAGGAGGAGGAGGAGGAGGAGGAACGCGGGGCACCGTCTCTTCAAAACGAGGACCCAACACCACAGGATGGTTGGGAAAAAGGGTAGTCGTAGGCCGTCCCAGCCTGCGCCGCGGGGAAAGGGTCGCGCCTGGGGTCTCGGGGCTGTGCATGTCTCGTTGCGGCTGGCGGGGGCAGTCCAGGGCTTCAGTGCGCGGCATTTCCTTATGTGTTCCGTGCCTGGGTTGTGGGTCTGCCACGTTTTGCTGCGGCACCCTTGCTTGACCCTCCCAGTACTCCGCTGGGGCATGGGTGGTGCCGCGGGTCCCCTATGCGGGGGGGGGGCTCATCGGAGGATCCCCGTCCATTCTTCCCACGGTCACGGTCCCCCGCCGCGGCGTGCGTGGGGGCAGGCTGTCACCGAGGGAGTGGTGCCCCTCTGGTGGCTGATCGGGGCGGCACGCGCGGCGTGTCGTTATCTGAGGCCTCGAATAGATCGGTTTACCGGCTTAGCTGCTGCCTCCTGGCGCACGTGGCGCGCGCGGCCCGTCTCTCGCCTACGGGCTTGTAGAGCGGTTTTCCGTCGCTGCCTGCTCCCCTGGCGCGCGTGTCAGGCGTCTCTCGCCGTTTTCATCGTCGCGGTGAGACTCCTCAGGGGAGCCCGCGCCGAATACGTCCCAGTTGGCGCCCACCCGCTGCCGACAGGGCGGCCTGGGGCTCGAGGAAACTCGTTCGCTTCTGGGGTGCTTCACTTCACTCACTCCTCCTCCTCCTCCTCCTCCTCCTCCTCCTCCTCCTCCTCCTCCTGCCCCTCCTCCGTGTCCTCCTTCTTCTCCTGCTCCTCCGACTCCAAGTATCCTCGTCCTCTTACGGCTCCTTCCCCCATCGTCCTCCCCCTGCCCCTGCTCCCCCCCTCATCCTTCTCCTCCCCCTCCTGCTGCTCCACCGCGTCATCCACCTCCTCCTCCTCCTCCTCCTCCTCCTCCTCCTCCTCCTCCTCCTCCTCCTCCTCTTGCTCCTCTTCCTCCTCCTCATCCGCCATCTCCTCCTCCTCCTCCTCCTCGTCCTCGTCCAAGGCACTGGCCGTAAGGCCTTCGCAATACAACGGGCGATGGAATATGGGACTTTTCACGGCCCCTACCATGGCAAGCTTCGCCCGCTCCTCGCAAGGAAAACCTCTGGAGGCACGGCACGCGCTAAAGACAACGCTGCGCGGACAGTACCGCGAAACCCAGAAGCCCCGCTATTTGCGCCATATTATCCTCCGGCTCCGCCCAGGTGGCTCCATATCAAGTTGGCCCACCAAACCCTGGCTGGTGAAGCGAAGACCATGTGGTAGTGGCGCGACTGCACCGAGCCACATCGATACAAGCCTCGTCGTAGGTCGTTCGATGATGCATTGGCTGGGTGATGCGTTCATCCCTTGCCTTCCAAGCGGGCTCTGTCGCTCCCAACTGGTTGCAGGGAGCGGCAATCACCGCGCAGCGCCGCGCAGGCCAACTGCACTGGCAGCTCGTGGGAGGCTCCTGGGGGTCGAGGCCCGCACCGGTGCGGGAGCCGATCGCCCAGTGACCTGTCGGCGACACGTAAGAGTGACCCTAGGCAAGAGTGCCCTTTGGTGCGCGGCCTTAGGGGGGCCCGTGGGGGCCTGGAGCAATCCAGTATGATTATCCTTGTCCGTGGCCTCCCAGGTCCTGGGAGGCAACGGACAAGGAGAATCATACTGGGGGGCCCTGGGCCCCGAAAGTATCCACACCCAGTGCCCCCCAGGGTCCTGGGGGATCGGTCCCCAGAGTGGTGGACATGGCAGCGTCAGCTCCCTCCCACCCTCGGGCGGGAGGCTCCTGGGAAGCTCGTGGCGGGTCGTGAGGGGTGGCGCGGTCAACACGTGTCTGGCGGCGCGCACAGGGGTGCAGGGGGAGGGGGGAAGGCGTCTTAGAAGGAGCCTGCTCCTTAGAAGGCGCCGGCCTTACATCTACACCTCCCCCTCCCCCCCTCGGCGCGTGGCCGACTGTTGGTGGTGTGAGCGGCAGCCTCACGCAATCCCGCGCAGCCCAGAGATCTTGCGGCAATAGGTGAGGCGGCGCGCCCGTGAAGGGCGCGCGGAAGAGAATCCGTCACCGTGCCCTTGAGGCACGAGTTGGAGTGTCCTCAGGTCCCTTGTTCGATCCCTGGGAGCATCCGTCCTCAGTCCCGAGAACTATTATTTAGGGGGGGGCGGACCCGAAATTCACGTATCTTCTGAGTCTTACCGTGGCTCGTCGCATGACACTTTCGGGTCCACGGCCCCAAGACGGGCTGATAGGGCCCCAAGAGGACGCACAGACGGACCAAGAGGGTCTCGAATCGACGCACGATCGGGCAAAGACGCTCAAGATGACCCCAAGAGGGCCCAGGAAGCCTTCGAGTCGCCCCAAGAGAGCCCCAGGAAGCTTCCCAAGAGGGCCCCGAAGAGGCCGAAATCAGTGAATTTCCGTATGTTTCCCACTGTGTTCGGTGTTGCGGTACTCGACTTCTCGAGCTTCCGACGCTCGAAGATGGCCCAAGATGCCCCAGTGACCGCCCCAAGACGGCCGAACAGGCCCCCAAGGGGGCCCCAAGACGGCCCAACAGGGTTCCAAGATGGCCCCATAGGCGCCCAAAATGGCCCAAGAGGGCCTCAAGACAGCCGCAAGAAGGGCCTCAGAGGGGGAACACGAGCCGAAAATCCGAGTCTTCCGCTCCAAATGGCCCCCCAGGAGGCCCCCAGGAGGCCCCAAGAGGCCCCAAGTCACCCCCAGCAAGCCACCAAGACGCTCCAAAAAGCCCCAAACCTTCCCCCAAGAGGCCTCCAAACGGCCCCCAAGAGGCTCCGTTGACCCATCCCGCGACATCCCAGCGAACATCGTAGATGTGTATGAACCACAACCCAGGCACGGTGGCGGGATGGTCCGAAGACCATTCGATCCGCCGCCCCCTTTTGATTTATCAAAGGGGTGCCCGGCGTGCCGGATTATATGGCTTCTGGTGTCGGTTCCTTTTCCAAAAGAACTCCCCCTGGGGCTCCGGCGCGTCCCGCCGGCCACCCGGAAAAGGTGGTTGCAAACGGTTGTCCTGCCCCAGACGGCCACAAGATGGCCTCCAAGACGGACAAGACGCCTCCAAGACGGCCACGATGGCCTCCAAGACGGCTCGAAAGGCCCCAAGATGCCTCCAAGGCGGCCCAAGATGTACCCAAGACAGCCTACGAGCGTCTGAAGATGGCCCAAGACGGCCCACGAGGCCCCCAAGAGGCCTCCAAGACGGCCCAAGAGGCCCCCAAGAGGTCCTCCAGGAAGGCCCGAGAGCCGAGAGGGCGACAATCATTGATTCCCAACCATCATGTGGTGTTGGGTCCTCGCTTTGCAGAGACAGCGCCCCGCGTTTCCTCATCTTTCCTCTTCCCCTCTTTTCATCATCATCATCATCATCATCATCATCATCATCATCAGCATCATCATCATCATCAGCATCATCATCATCAACACCATCATCATCACCATCATCATCATCACCACCATAATCATCATCACCATCACCATCATCATCATCAACATTATCATCATCAGCATCATCGTCATCATTGTCATCATCGTCGTCATCATCAACGTCGGCACGTTTCGTTGCCCCACAGGGAACTCCACAAAAGGTCCCAATGGCGCGGTTGGCATGCGCCTCCCCCCCCCCCAATACAGCGTTTCGTGGCCCCACGGGGAACGCCACCGAAAGTCCCCGTGGCGCAGTCCGCATGTGTCTCCGCCACTCATTTCGGCCCACCCCTCACACGCTTCGTGGCCCCATAGGAGGTCCGCCGAAAGTCCCAGTGGCACAGTTCGCACGCGTCCCCGCCACTCATTTCGGCCCACCCATCACACGCTTCGTGGCCCCATACGAGCTCCACCGAAGGTCCAAGTGGCACAATCCGCATGCGTCCCCGCCACTGATTTCGGCACAACCCTCACACGCTTCGTGGCCCCATAGGAGGTCCGCCAACGGTCCCAGTGGCACAGTTCGCATGCGTCCCCGCCATTCATTTCGGCCCACCCTCCGCGCGATTCGTGGCCCCACAAGGGCTCCGCCGAAGGTCCCCGTGGCACAGTCCGCATACGCCCACGCCACTCATTTCGGCCCACCCCTCACACGTTTCGTGGCCCCATATGGGGTTCCGCCGAAGGTCCTAGTGGCACAATCCGCATGCGTCCCCGCCACACGTTTCGGCACACCCCTCACACGTTTCGTGGCCCCATAAGAGCTCCGCCGACGGCCCCCGTGGCACAGTCCGCATGCGTCCCCGCCACACGTTTCGGCACACCCCTCACACGTTTCGTGGCCCCATAGGAGCCCCGCCGAAGTTCCCACTGGCACAGTCCGCACGCGTCCCCGCCACTCGTTTCGGCACACCCCTCGCACGTTTCGCCACGAGGACCTCCTGCTCACGCGGGCGCCGCGCATCGAGTTTTTCCTGGCAGGGCCGCCGGAGGGTTTGCGGAAGCAGCTGGAACAGCTTGCTGCGCACGAAGCGGTGCAGGAGGGAGGCGACGGCCCTCGCCAAGGAGCTGGGCTTCACCGAGTTTATCCGCGAGGCTTGATGTGAGGAGCGGCCCGCCCGAGCCTCGCCGTCTCTCGACGGTCTGAGTGATTGTTCGGCCTCGCGCCGCGGACGACCCGCGCGCGTCGCTGGGACCCTCTCGGGGCGACCAGCGCGCGTCGCAGGAATTCCGTGCCGCGTTCTGCCCAGCGCCTCGCTCGCCCGTCGTCGCTCTGCCCAGCGGCAAGAGCCTTGCCCGCTATCAGTCAGCCAACTAGCTCTCTTTGCCCCGCGCAACGGACGACCCGCGCGCGTCGCTGGGACCCCTCCGGGGCGACCAGCGCGCGCTGCGTTCTGCCCAGCGCCTCGCTCGCCCGTCGTCGCTCTGCCCAGCGGCAAGAGCCTTGCCCGCTATCCGCCAGCCAGCTGGCTCTGTTTGCTCAGCGCAGCGGACGACCCGCGCGCGTCGCTGGGACCCCTCCGGGGCGACCTGCGCGCGTCGCGGGGACTCCGCGCTGCGCTGCGCCCGCAGGCTTGGACTTTTGAGTGCGCGGGCAAAGAGATAGTAAAAGAAGGGGGGGAAGCGGGCGCGATTCTCGCGGGGGGGCGCGCCGACATTGGCGTCGCGGCGCGCGGGCGATGCCGTCGGGGAGTCCCGGGGAAGCTCCTTGCGGCGACCACGCACAACGTCACGAGTACTCAGAGGCAGTCATTCTCAAACTATTGACGTTCATATACAATTACACCATGCTTTGTCATACTCGCATTCATGCACGTAGACTCGCTCGCACGCAGATTCATTCACAATCAGACGCACTCGCGCTCATATTCACCCGTGCTCAGGCTCCCTCAGTACTCAGAGCGATCGTTTTCGCTCGCGTTGTGTACCACACCACTCACTTCGGCACACCCCTAGCACGGTTCGTTGCCTCATAGGGATCACCACCAAAAAAGTGGATCACAATTGCGGTACTCACACCTGCATATGGTTGGGTCTTCGTCAGGCAAATTGTCCTTAGGTTGTTAAGGATCTTGGCATTTGCGCCTTTTCGGCTTTCCGACGGCCCCAGACGGCCCAAGAGACTCCCAAAATCGCCCCAAGATCGCCCAAGAGGCCTCCAAGATGGTTCCGCGACGGCCCAAGAGGCCCACAAGACGGCCCCAAGAGTGCCCCAAGACGGCCCAAGAGGCCTCCAAGACGCAAAGATGGCCTCCAAGAAGGCCAAGATGGCCTCCACGATGCCTCCAAGACGGCCAAGATGGCCTCCAAGACGGACTCAGATGCCTCCAAGACGGCCCAAGATGCACCCAAGACGGACTTAGATGGGCCCAAGAGGCTCCCAAGAGGCCTCCAAGACGACCCAAGAGGCCTCCAAGAGGTCCTCCAGGAAGGCCCGAAGAGGCGAAAATCATTGATTTCCCGTGGGTGTTTGAAGGATGTTGGTATTTGCGCCTTTTCAGCTTTCCGTCGGCCCAAAACGACCCAAGAGGCCCCCAAGGTCGCCCCAAGATCGCCCAAGAGGCCTCCAAAATGGCCCCATGACGGCCCAAGAAGCCCTCAAGACGGCCCCAAGAGGGCCCCAAGTCGGGCCAAGAGGCCTCCAAGACGCCCAAGATGGCCTCTACGACGACCCCGAAGCGCCCCAAGAGGGCCCCAAATCGGCCCAGAGAGGCCCCCAAGACGGCTCCCGACGGCGTCAGATTTGCCAGGAGCCCACCAAGACGGCCGAAGATAGCCTTAAGATGGCCCAAGACGGCCCAAGAGGCCTCCAAGAGGGCCTCTAGGAAGGCCCGAAAAGGCCAAAATCATTGACTTCCCTAAGGAGTTTTTGAAGGGTGGCATTTGCGTTGTTTCTGCCTTCCGACGGCCCGAGACGACCCAAATGCCCCTAAAGACGGCCGAAGAGCCCTCCAAGACGTCCTGCAAGAAGGCCCGAAAGGGTCAAAATGGCCTCCAGACGGCCAAGATGGCCTTCTAGATGCCAACGTGTTCCCCGAAGGCGTTCCAAACCGATTCGGGGAACACATGGTCCGATAGCTTGGCAGGTCTGGCCTCAACGTTCGGCCACACAGGCGCCTCCAATAAGGCAGGGGGCGGCGGTGATTCGCCGTAGGCGTCTTCGATACAATTGAGCCTTGCTGCCAACGCCAACGCGCGGCAACAATACCCGCCAGTCGGAGAAAGTGGGTGGCAGCATGGGTTTGGGTCCGCCCAATCGTAGCAAACAGCAGGAACAGCACATCGATTATTGAGGTAGGAAAGCGCTTGAAGTAGACTGGGATTTGGGAGATCAGAAATGCCTACTTTCAACAACTGGCGTATATTCACTCTGGATGTACCAGGTGCAACGGTGCTGTACTACAGGGGGAGGCCCACCGCGCTGGTGCCCTGGCTGGAGAACGCTTAGCTTGCCTCCCTTCAACACAGCAGCTCTTCTAACACTGCAGCCCTGCAGTGCCGCAGCGCTGAGCCAACTCCATCCTTTATTATCAATCCTCCTCCTCCTCCTCCTCCTCATCCTCATCCGCCTCCTCCGCCTCCGCCTCCTCATCCTCCTCCTAATCGTCGTCTTGTTCTTCCTCCTGCCAAATCCTGCCCCTCCCCCCGTGCTCCTCTCAGCATGCCGTCCGTACTATTCCTTACTCTTCCTCCTCATCCTCCTCGTCCCTCTTCTCTCCTCCTACTCCTCCTCCTCTTCCTCCACCTCCTCCTCGTCCTCCTCCACCTCCTCCTCGTCGCCCTCCTCCTCCTCCTCCTCCTCCTCCTCCTGCCCCTCCTCCTTCTCCCCCTGTCCCTCCTCCTCCTCCTCCTCCTCCTTCCTCCTCCTCCTCCGCCTCCTCCTCCTCCTCCTCCTCCTCCCCCGTTTCCTCCTCCCCCTCCCCCTTCTGCTCCCGTGGCAGGTCCTCCTCTATACCCCCCTCTGCCGAGAACGAGGTCCTGCTTGGCGGCCCGCAGCACTTCCTCGTCGACGCCCCACGAATCCCTGCGGTGCTGCGTCGAAGGGAACTGGAGCGGCGCGGGGGTACGGAGGGGAGTTCGAGGGTAAGATGTAAGGGGGGGGAGGCGGGACTAGGGAAGGTGATGGGCCTGTCTTCCACCACCACCACCACCACCACCATCAGCTGGAGGGGGAAAGGAGGTGGAGGACGAGGAGAAGGAGGACGAAGGGTAGGAGAAGGAGGAGGAGGAGGAGGAGGAGGAGGAGGAGGAAGAGGGGGAGGAGGAGGAGGAGGAGGAGGGGGAAGAGGGGGAGGAGGAGGCGGAGGCGGAGGAGGAGGAGGAGGAGGAGGAGGAGGAGGAGGTAGATGAGAAAGGGGATGAGGAGGAGGAGGACGAAGGGTAGGAGGAGGAAGAGGAGGAGGAGAAGGAGGAGGAGGAGGAGCAGGAAGAGGAGGAGGACCCCCTCCCCCTCAAATGTGTGGTGATGGTGGTGGTGGAAAACAGGCCCATCAGAAGAAGTGCAGGAAGAGGGACATAGAAATGGGAATGGAAATGGCAAGACCGCAAGGCGTTCAGAAGCCAACCTCATCCCCGCTCATAGGCCCAAGTGCAGGTACACCCGGAAGACCCGGAGGGCGAGGGCAGAGACACGACAAGGCACGAAACGCATTTGCTTCGACGGATCGGGGCACTGGCAGAACGTGGCGGGGTTCAGCACATGCAGAATGTACCAACTTACAGAATTAAAGACCCACTATACATTGAGACAGCCAGCCCTGCGCCCCCACCACAAGCTAAAGCCACTATACAGCTGTGTGGTGCACGCCACGCACCAAGCTATTACTGCGAGGGAACGCCATTGCACAACAAGAGTATGTACCGCGAATTGCCGAAGCAACGACCACCCCAAACATGAGATACCGATGAGCATCGCCCAACAAGCAGGGATGCCACGGAGTTGGCACTGAGCCTGGCCAAATAAGCCACGCGCTGAGCGGCAGCAAAAGCATGACAAACTATTAAATTGAGGCACGCCCTACCTGAGGATATGCGGGCTTAAGTGGCCCTAGGCCTGCGTGCCGCCTCCCAGCCCCCAGCCAGGAACGGAGGATCGAGAAACCCATGGGCATGAATGGCCACGAGCATGAAACAAATAAAAAAGTAGCCAATAACCGATAAACGCTCTCTCCACTGTGCCAACACCAATGTATACTGTACACTGTCGCCAGTGTGCTGCTATGCACGAACGATACAGCTAGATCATTCGCCGAGCCGTCGTGCAGCTTAGCCTGCACTGGTGCGGTCACTGCCGCCATGAACACACATATGACAACCGTATGGAGGTTGCCTATTTAATGATCACAACCACAGCGGCGCACTGGAGCTGCCCAATAAAAGAATTCGTAAGCCGTGCTGTCGTACAGGATACGGCGTTCGGCTGCATCAGGGCGTCAAAACACGGCCGAAACTCGGCAGACAGACATGTGCACGCGATAATGATAAGGAGCGGTGTGTAGTCGCCAACCCACTGTCCTCACGCAGCTGAAAAATGCCAAGCCCCCGCAACGTGACTACCATCTGCCGAAGAATGGGCCCTGCACTGAGCTCCAGACTGACTGTGCGAATGCCCGATGCTTCCCAATGGCCCAGTGAAACGTCAATCTTGTACTTGGAACTTGACACGCTTTGCACTGTTTAGCCAACCGCGCCAGCAGATCAACTTCGGATTTCTTGCGCGGTGCCACCCAAGCCCCTCGGTGAGGAACAATGCGCGACGCCAATGCGAGGTTCAGCCAAAACGGATCTTCGCGCCTTAGGCCGCATGTGCTTAAGTGGGAAGGAGGAGGGAGGAAAAGGCGAGGGAGGGGAATGAAAAGCGATGGAGGATGAGACAGGGACGAAGGAAGGGGACCGCAAAAGAAAGGACAAAGTACAAGTACGCGTATGACAGACACGATAGCACGAATGTTAAACCAGTGCGAATCGCAATAACGAGCCAAGGGAGGTCCGCGAAAAGCAAGTATGAAAGATGTGCAACGCGGAAGTACGGGCACACAACAAATACGAACGCACACTCAATGTACAAACAGAGTACGGAAAAGTGTGAAACAAGTGTGAAGCATGTTTGAAAAAAGTAAGAACGCCCATTCAGACTACAAACAATCGGACGAACAAAGTATGAGCAAATGCGAAACGTGAAAAAATGGCACACGTATATCTTTTCCATGCGCTGCCCTCACACTTCGGATGTCTAAACTTCTGCACTTGGTACTTCTGCCGGCATACGTCTCGCACTCGTGCTTCGGCGTGGTACTGTCTATTGCAAGTGGGAGGGGGGTCCAGTGCAGCTGGCCAGAATCTCTCAGCGCTACATATGTAGTACAAACAAGGTGGTGCAATCTGTGTGGTGCAATCTAGGCGGCGACGGGGCGGCGACGAGGCGGCAACGGCGAGCACGGAGCCGCCAGACCGCCAGCCAGGCCCAAAGATGGGCGGTGACGAGGCGTTCTCGTGTAGCGCGTGCGGGCGAGGCGGTACTGCGCGAGGGCGACGATGAGTCGACGTAACAAAAACTACATCGGACAAAAACAAATCCAGGCCTCGGCCGCACAAGCGTTGTCCCGTGGACTACCCCGTCGCTGTTCCGTGGCTGGTCCTACCCGCGGGTTGACCCGTGGGTTGTCCCATGGGTTGACCCGCGGGTTGACCCGTGGGTTGTCCCGTGGGTTGAGACGAAGTTTATCCCGCGGTTGTCCGACTTGTCCAGAGGCTGTCCCGCGGGAGATGCAAATCGAACTGCCAAAGCGAACAAACGCAAATCGCAATAACTACCATTGCAATCGTAATGCGAACCGAAATCAAAGTTGACATATTCATCCAACTGCAGTCGAGCTGCAAAGTCTTCATTTCCCCCAGACCTGCTTATCAGCCGAAGGGTGACCCGTGCGGCGCGCAATCCTTGGGATAGGTAAATGTCTTCTACGGTTCCCTCCCTCCTCCTCCAGCGGTGAATCGGGGAGACGTAAGACTCGGGTACGGGGGACTTGGGTTGGTCTGAAATTTGACGCGGGCTCCCGCTGCAAGTATCCCACGAAAACGGTACCGTCAAAATCCAGGACGCGCTCGTCAAAAAAAACGGCAAACCCGAGTTCCGGCTTACTCGAGTCGTACGCTTCCCCGAGGAGGAGGCCACAGAGCGGCGGCAGCGGCATGAAATATAGGCGCGAGGCGGCGCCTCCCGCTCAGGTCGATGATCTGGGGGCGGGCGGGGAAAGGCTTGGAACGGCAGCGCCAAGGTGGGCGCCACACGTCCCCCCCCGCCTCCCTCGCATCCTCATCCTCATTCTCCTCCTCCTCCCCCCGCGTTCTCTCCTCCTTCCCCTTTCCTCCTCCCGCGTCCTCCTCCTCCCGTGTCCTCTCCTCCTTCTCCTCCTCCTCCTCCCGCCTCCACCTCCCTCGCATCCTCATCGTCTTTCTCCTCCTCCTCCCGCGTCCTCATCCTCTCATCTTCCTTCCTCTCCCCCCGACCTCCTGCCCCATCCACGCCACCAGACGTGTCCGCAGGGCGGCCAGGGCGCTTCGCTGGAGGCTTCCTTATAACGTATAGCCCTGACGCCGACAGCTCCAACGCCTGCAAGGATGACCCGTCGTTTCCAAAATGCGATTCTCGCGTAAATGCAACGCAAACTCGTCTGATAAACTTCTAACAAATATAGCGATGGAAAACCGTCATTTGGGGGGGAAAAAAAACATCTCGCCCTAGCGCCGCGCACACGGGAATTGAAATATCATGTACAAGGGGAGGAGGCCGCCTCGTGCTCAAAGTACCGCTCTGCGCCTTATCGCCGCGAGCACTCGCCAAAACAACTCCAACACATACAATGATAGATGAAAGGTGGAAATACGGCTCCCACGCGGGCGCCGCACACATCCGCGCACATCCGACATCAAACAGCGGTTCTCGCTTGAGAACTCTGTCTAGGTATTCTGACCCGACTGCTCAAATTGTGCAACTGCTCCATGGTTGGAGGGCGATTATGTTCACAATGCGGTCTTGCCTCAAGATATCCGAGACATGTAAGACAATGATTTTAGACGCATTTAATTGTTCAGAACGGGGTTGTCACTGGACAATGTAGTATGAATTTCCACCGCCGGTCCTCCAACTCAAATTGCCAAAGACGTAAGCCACATTCCTAAACATGTTAGACCCGACCCCACTAATTGCGAGCGTCCAGACCGTGACATATGAGGCCCCCCCTGGCATGGAATCTCGTCTCTGCCGTGCGCTGATCAGGATATCTGACCCGGCCGTCGCCGAGCCGACTCGCCCAGAGGAAAACTAAGTATCACAGGGGACGGGCGGGCTCGACTTACACGCATTCGCAATGCTGGCTGCATCGAGGCAGCACTTTACCCTGGCGACGTACCCAACCCTTGCGCAATGCGGGACATGAGTAGCTTGGGAGACGTTATACGGAGGTGATGACGTGACATGGGCGCATGTACTTCTGCGAGCGGGTTCGTGAGGCTCGCAGCCCCCCAAGGATTGCGAGGTCTCGCTCAGATCCGCGCGGTGCCTCGCTCCGCTGGACCCACCACCAGCCCTCGGAAGTGGCGACAGTTTCGCAGATCGCAGCCCCCCAGGGACGGCGAGGTCCCGCTCAGATCTGCGCGGTGCCTCACTCCGCAGGACCCACCAGCAGCCCTCGAAAGTGGCGACGGTTTCGCAGATCGCAGCCCCCCAGGGACGGCGAGGTCCCACTCAGATCCGCGCGGTGCCTCGCTCCGCTGGACCCACCAGCAGCCCTCGAAAGTGGCGACAATTTCGCAGATCGCAGCCCCCCAGGGACGGCGAGGTCCCGCTCAGATCCGCGCGGTGCCTCACTCCGCAGGACCCACCAGCAGCCCTCGAAAGTGGCGACAATTTCGCAGACGGTAGCCCCCCCAGGGGCGGCGAGATCCCGCTCAGATCTGCGCGGTGCCTCTCTCCGCAGGACCCACCAGCAGCCCTCGAATGTGGCGACAGCTTCGCAGATCGCAGCCCCCCAGGGACGACGAGATCCCGCTCAGGTCCGCGCGGTGCCTCAATCCACAGGACCCACCAGCAGCCCTCGAAAGTGGCGACAGTTTCGCAGATCGCAGCCCCCCAGGGACGGCGAGGGCTCGCTCAGATCCGCGCGGTGCCTGACTCCGCAGGACCCACCAGCAGCCCTCGAAAGTGGCGACAGTTTCGCAGATCGCAGCCCCCCAGGGACGGCGAGGTCTAGATCCGACCGCAGATCGCAGCTCAGATCACTCCGCAGGACCCACCAGCAGCCCTCGAAAGTGGCGACGGTTTCGCAGATCGCAGCCCCCCGGGGACGGCGAGGTCTCGCTCAGATCTGCGCGGTGCCCCACTCCGCAGGACCCACCAGCAGCCCTCGAAAGTGGCGACAGTTTCGCAGATCGCAGCCCCCCAGGGACGGCGAGGTCCCGCTCAGATCCGCGCGGTGCCCCACTCCGCAGGACCCAACAGCAGCTCTCGAAAGCGGCGACAATTTTGCAGATCGCAGCCCCCCAGGGACGGCGAGGTCCCGCTCAGATCCGCGCGGTGCCCCACTCCGCAGGACCCAACAGCAGCTCTCGAAAGCGGCGACAGTTTCGCAGATCGCAGCCCCCCAGGGACGGCGAGGTCCCGCTCAGATCCGCGCGGTGCCTCAATCCGCAGGACCCACCAGCAGCCCTCGAAAGTGGCGACGGTTTCGCAGATCGCAGCCCCCCAAGGACGGTGATGTCCCGCTCAGATCCGCGCGGTGCCCCACTCCGCAGGACCCAACAGCAGCTCTCGAAAGCGGCGACAACTTCGCAGATCGCAGCCCACCAAGGACGGCGAGGTCCCGCTCAGATCTGCGCGGTGCGTCAACACGCAGGACACACCAGCAGCCCTCGAAAGCGGCGACAATTTCGCAGATCGCAGCCCCCCAGGGACGGCGAGGTCTCGCTCAGATCAGCGCGGTGCCTCACTCCGCAGGACCCACCAGCAGCCCTCGAAAGTGGCGACAGTTTCGCAGATCGCAGCCCCCCAGGGACGGTCTCGCTCAGATCCGCGCGGTGCCTGACTCCGCAGGACCCACCAGCAGCCCTCGAAAGTGGCGACAATTTCGCAGATCGCAGCCCCCCAGGGACGGCGAGGTCTCGCTCAGATCCGCGCGGTGCCTCACTCCGCAGGACCCACCAGCAGCCCTCGAAAGCGGCGACAATTTCGCAGATCGCAGCCCCCCAGGGACGGCGAGGTCTCGCTCGGATCCGCGCGGTGCCTTACTCCGCAGGACCCACCAGCAGCCCTCGAAAGTGGCAACAGTTTCGCAGATCGCAGCCCACCAAGGACGGCGAGGTCTCGCTCAGATCCGCGCGGTGCCTCACTCCGCAGGACCCACCAGCAGCCCTCGAAAGTGGCGACAGTTTCGCAGATCGCAGCCCCCCAGGGACGGCGAAGAGAGGGCAGGAGGAGGCGGGAGGCGGGAGAAGGGACGCGACCACACCCCTCTATCCAACACGAATGCCCAACCAAGGAGGGTTGGGAAAAAACTGAACAACATTCCCACCGTTCGCCCTTGCACCGGCAACTGCAAGTGACACATCGCAAACACATTCGCTGGCACATCCGCCTCCGCCTCCGCCTCCGCCTCCGCCTCCGCCTCCGCCTCCTCCGCCTCCTCCGCTTCCTCCGCCTCCTCCGCCCCGTCCGCCGCCTCCTCCTCCTCCTCCTCCTCCTCTTCCTCCTCCTCCTCCTCCTCCTCCTCCTCTGCCTCCTCTGCCTCCTCTGCCTCCGCCTCCTCCGCCTCCGCCTCCGCCTCCGCCTCCGCCTCCGCCTCCTCCGCCTCCTCCGCCTCCTCCGCCTCCTCCGCCTCCTCCGCCTCCTCCGCCTCCTCCGCCGCCCCCCGCCGCCCCCCGCCTCCTCCTCCTCCTCCTCCTCCCCTCCTCCCTCCTCCTCCTCCCTCCTCCTCCTCCCTCCTCCTCCTCCTCCTCCCTCCTCCTCCTCCTCCTCCTCCTCCTCCTCCTCCTCCTCCTCCTCTTGTTCTTATCAGTATGACATTATTCTTCTTGATTATTATTAGTATTATTAGTATAATATGTATTATTCGTTTGATTACCCTCAGTAGTATTAGTCTTCGTCTTCTTCGTATTATCTTATTCTTACCATTAGTATTCGTATTATTATTATTCTTAGTAGTATGGTTAGTCGTCTTATTCTCATTGTTATTATTATTATGCTTCGTAGTAGTATTCTTCTTCGTTTTATGAAAATTATAATTCGTGTACTTCGCCTTCGTCTTATTCGTCTTAGTCTTCGTATTCTTAGTATCCTTATTATTCGTATGCTCATTTGTACTGTTATCATCCTTCTTATCATTGTTCGTATTATTATTCGTCTTCTTATGATTCGTCGCCTTCTTCTTAGTATTGTTCTTCTCCATATTAAGAAGAAGAAGAAGAACAACAACAAGAAGAAGAAGAAGAGGGGGGGGGCGCCCCCCACCCCCCCCTGGCGCCGGCGCTGGCGCTGGCGGCCACCGTAGCGCCAACGCAGCGACGATGACCAGAGAGAGCCCAGGAGGGGGGGGGGTTCAACCCGCCCCCCGCGCTGGCGCCGACGCCGGCGCCGGCTGCGGCCAGCAGCGCCGACGGCGGGGACGCAGCGACGATGACCACAGATGGCCCAGTGACCGCAGAGGGAGCACACAAATCGCCATTTCGAGCCCTCGCATGCTCCTCAGACGCCCCCGAGACCCTTCTGACGAGATCTCAAGAGGCATCCATTAGAACTCTGACCCTTTGCCAAAACACAGTGGCGGGGCGAGCCGAAGGCCACACCACCACCACCACCACCACCACCACCACCGCCACCACAGACCACCATACCACCACCACCACCACCGCCACCACCACAACCACCACCACAACCACCACAACCCACCATCACCACAACCATCACCATCACCACAAACCACCTCGCCACCACCACCACCACCACCACCAAACCACCACCACCAGCACCACCACAACCCACCACTACCCACCACAACCACCACAACCACCACCACCACCACAAACCACAACAACATTACCACCACCATCACCACCACCGCCACAACCACCACCATCACCACAACCCACCACCACTACCACCACCACCCAACCACCACCACCACCACCCACTACCACCACCCAACCACCACCCACCACCTACCACCAGCACAACTACCAGCAGCAGCACCATCACCAACACCACAGCCCACCACCACCACCACCACCACCACCACTAACCACCACGCCACCACCACCACCATCACCGCCACCACCACGACCACCACCATCACCACCTCAAACCACCAGCACCAACAACAAACCACCACACAACCACCACACCACCACCACAACAGCTCACCACCACAACTACCAATACGATAACCCACCTCCACTACCACCACCATCACCACAATCTACCACACCACCACCACCACCGCCACAACCACCACCACTACTACCAGCAGCACAACCTACCACCACCACCACAACCACCACAAATCACCTCACCTCACCACCACCACCACCACCACCACCACCACCACCACCACCGCCACTGCCACCACCACCAGCACCCCCGCCGCGGCCGCCAGCCGCCGCCGACGCCGGCGCCGGCCCGAGGAGAGGGAGAGAGGAGCAGGGGAAGGGGGGGGGTCGAACCCCCCCCCCTTCGTCATGGGAGGGGGGGGGTTCGAACCCCCCCCACTCCATCCAGGGGGAGGGAAGGGTCCGGTTCTAACCCCCACCCCCCTCCAAGCGACCACAGAACGCGCTCATTCTTCCCTCCCTCTCTTCATTCCCACAGCCATCAAATACTCCATCCCTATCATGTCCATCCTGCATCCCTTCTCCTCTGACTGACCGTCCAGCACCAACCCAAGAGCCCCCCCCACCCGAACGCGCCTTCACGGCCTTCTGCGTCGAGGCGGGGCTCCTCTTGATGGAGATGGCAGCCCGGACCTGTTCTTATGACGCGGCAGGCGACAAAGGGGAGGAGACTCGCATCGGATCGGGCATCCAAGGACTGCCGAGGAAAAATAGGCAGGAGGAAGTTCATACAATGAGACTTCCTGGGCCCTCCCCGTCTTTGAATCTTGAACCTTCGAAGTCCTGTTGCTTTGATCGCGCCTAGTGTAGCATACGTTGATCATGGATTGGTTTGGGCTGTAGCCTGAGAGCGCGCAAACCATCTGGCAACCAAGGCCCACTGCTTCCCAGATAGGCACAGCTTATCACTCCGTAGACGTTCTTAAATCCGCCCACGGCGACGCAAAAACGGGCAGCCAGCCGAACAGACATCCGGCCGAAGCCAAATCGAGCGCACGCAGCCGAGGAGGGACGCAGCTACGCAGCAACGACGCAACTGCCGACCGAACTGAACTGACCGAACGTAACCGACTGCAACGCAGCCGAACCGACCGAACCATGGGCAGCCCCTTGATTCTGGCTCATCGGGGAAACCAAAAGGTACCGATACCGCTACTCCCCAGAGTTCTGACCAGGACTTCAACGCGAATCCAGCGGTGTCGACGAGGGCCGCCCAGGAGGCCCCAGAAGTGAAAAACGAGGAAGGTTAGCTGTATGGGTATCTTTTCCTCCCAGAGGCAGTCGCGCAGGTGCCCTCGCAGGCGCCCTCACCCCCTCGCTGGGCTCAGCGCAGGGGCCGCAGCGCCGCTCGCATCGACTGCGGTCGACGGGGCCACGGCGCTGCGGCCCGCCTCGCTCGAGGCCCGCTCGCCAGCGGCGGCCCTGCGCGCGGCGGCGCGGCGCAAGCAGCTGGCGGGTCGCACAGCAAACTTCGGCCGTAAGATCGTCGTCGCGCTGGCCGCGAGTCCAGAGGCCGAGCTCGCCGTGGCCACGGACCGCCGTGATGCGGCTGCCGCCCTGGCGGTGCGACTAGCCGCCGCGGGCGGGTCCCTCGATCAGACGTCCGACGGGGCGCTCGTGCCCGAGCCGGTCTCGAGGCACGGTGCTGACTGCGCCTGCGTTGGAAGCTGCCCTTGGCGGCCGCGCAGTGTGCGCCTGGCCCAGGAAGCCCCAACGCCCCGGCTCGGGCGCCTCGGACGCCTCGCCCCGCAACCTCGACGGCGGGCCCGACAGGCCGCTCGACGCCTCCGACCGCCGCGGCTCTGACGGCTTGGCCCTCGACGACTCGGACGTGGGGGCGCCGAGCGCGGCAGCCCCTGCCCACAGGTGATGCGGCGGCTCCAGGCGTAGGCCGCTCCTGGAGCCACTGGCCTGCGCACGGCGCAACGCGCTGGGCTCCGCTGCGGACCGCGCCGAGGTGTCGGCAGCGCGGTCATGCGCCAGGCGAGGGGGGGGCAGAGAGGTACCGAAACCGACAAGCACTCCCCAGACCTCTCCAGGGGAGCCCTCTGACCAGGACTTCGAAGCGAATCCAGCCGTGGAGTCGAGGATTGGGCAGCGGCATCGGCACCTGCGCCTCACACGACTTGCGGGTCTCGCCGGAGTGCCAGCAGCGCGGTCGCGCGGCAGGCCTCCCTCATCAGGCTGCAGCGCTCCGCTCGACGGCGGACTAGCGCGCGGCGGCGGCCAAGGCCGGCAGCGGCGCCTGCCGGGCCCCGCCGCGGCCTGCAGGCTGGCGCGCACGGCCCGCGACGCGGCGCTTCGCGTGCGGGCCGTCGCCCAGGCTGCCTGCCGGCGCCTGCCTCGAGCTCGCGGAGCGCGTCCGCTGTGCTGGCGTGCCCCCCAAAGGGCCCCAAGAAGACGGCCCAGCCCAGGACAGCCCAAGAGAGCCCTCCCAAGAGAGCCCCAAGAGGCCCAAGAGACTACTCAGGCTACCAAGAACGGTCCAAGACTGCCGAAAACGGCACCAAGACGGCCGAAACGGGCCAGAAGACTTCCCAAGAGGGCCCCGGGAGGACAAATGACGACCCGACCCAACTGGAGCCCAAGACAGCCCAAAGAGGGTCCAAATAGGCTTCCTGAGAACTCATCACATATTGGAAACGAGAGAGCTTACATGTTACATCTGAGCGTCGCCACACAGTGTATGGCCCATGCACGATGGCGGACATTACCGCAAGCAACTGGGTTTCCTATTAAAGACCTCCTAAAGCTCATCCGTATTCATTACCCCTGTCTCCCCCTCCTCATCCGACTCATCCTGCGCCTCTCCCTCCTCGTTTCGTTTCTCCTCTCCAGGGAGGTTGGGCCGCATGGGTCTGGATGCCATCCCTGCGATGGACAGGCACGGACACGGGCCTCTGGTGCATGCAGCAAGGATGCCCATCCCTCCTGGCGGACAAATATTGGCACTCCGCCCTCGAACTGAGGGGTTTGCTGGGCACAAGTACCTTTGGTCCTCTTCAATGGCCGCGGGACGGCCGCATTGACATTGCGGGCGCGGCATTTTCGCCACTGACGGAATCCAATAGTGATGCACCGTGCTAGCCGAGGTACCAATCAGGCATCCGCATCCGTTCTCCGTGCCTAATGCTAGGATGCCCGTGCCTGTTTATGGACAAGTATGGGCATCCCGCTACCCCTGCCCATGGGCAGCACTGGCATCCGCTGGTCGTGCCTGATGCTAGTGCGCCCACCCCTGTTTCAAGACAAGCATGGACATCACATCCTCGCAATGAGGCTATTGCTCGGCCCCCCAAGAAACGTCCGCATCACTGGCCATGAAAACGGCCCCAATGCCGCTGCGGGCGCGACATGTTCGCCATTGACGGCGTGCACTAGGCCACTTGTTGGCACAGAATATCATCCTGATCGGTGGACAAGCATGGGAATCCGCTTCTCGTGCCTACAGCGAGGATGCCCATCCTTGTTGATGGACACGCATAGGCATCCCGCCCTCGCAAAGAGGACTCGCTGGGTACCAAGAAATTTGGTCCGCCGCAGTGGCCGTGAGATGGCAACGTTGCCGTTGTGGGCGCGGCAGCTTCTGATACTTCGCGCCACGCATGGGCAGGGATCTGGCAGAATCCCAGTGGAAGCTGGCTCTCTATTTGTGCAAATGTATGTTGCGTGTAGATTCGACACCGTCTTTAATTCGACTTCTGCGTCTCGGTTCGAGTCTAGCCCAGGGGCTGGCAGCCCCCCACCACTGGCGGCTTTCAGTAGAAGCCCCATCAGTTTGGATGGCCAACCCTGTCGATGGACAAGCACCTGCATCCCACCCATCGCGCCTGAAGCCCGGATGCCAATTTGACGGCTTTCAGTAGGCCCCATGTCGGCCTGGATGCCCATCCCTGCCGATGGACAGGCATGGGAAACCGCCCCCCGCGCCTAGAGCTAGAATGCCTGTCCCCGTTGAGCCCCGTTGATGGACAGGCATCGGCGCCCCGCCCTCGCAAAGAGGACCCGCTGGGCTTGAGAATTTCTGCCCGCCTCAGCGGCCGCGAGATGGCCAAGCTGCCGTTGCGGGCGCGGCAGCCTCCGATAGAAACTTCGCACCACGTACCAGCACGAATCTGGCAGAAATCAATAGGATCGGGGGCGCCGATGCGGGGGAATAGCCCAGGGGAGAGCATTGCAAGCATCCAGGGGCGCCGATGGCCCATGTCTTCGGCGAAGCTCCCCGGACCAATACGTGCAATGCCCGCCCCTGGGCCATGCGCCCCTATCGTCGCCGCCGCTGGAAGCCAGAGGAAGTACTTCGGCGGAGGTCACCCGGCGGGGCTCTCTACCTGCACGCACACCCATCCAAGTTGGGTCTCGCCTCTCCGCCTCGGTTCGAGTCTCGCCGAGGGGCCAGCGGCCTCCGACGCTGGCGGCGATCAGCAGAAGCTGCGTTGGCCTGGATGCCCACCTCTTCGGTTGATGGACAGGCACCGGCATCCGCCCCTTGCGCCTGGAGCTAAGCCCATCCCTGTCGAAGGGCAGGCATGGGCACCCCATCCTCGCGAAGAGGATATTGATCGACGCACAAGAAATCTAAATCCGCATCACACGCCGCGAAGCGGCCACATGACTGTTGCGGTCGACGCATTTTCGCCATTGACGGCGTCCAGTAGGTGCCGCATTGGCATGTATGCCCGCCCCTGCCGACAGACAAGCATGGGCATCCGCTCCCGAAATGCCCATCCCTGTTGATGGACAAACCTGGGCACCCCCCGCCCTCGCAAAGAGCATGCGCTGGGGACCGAGAATTGTTAATGATGCGCCGCGCACTTACATCTCGCCCGACGGCGGATCTGAGGGGCCAGTTTGAGGGATCTCTTTTTGCTGGCGCTGGTGAGCGCGAGCTGTGCTCGCGGGCCCTGCTCGCGAGCCAGCGGGGCGGAAATGCTGGCAAATTCTTGCAAGTGGAATCCGAGTACAGGCGTTCACTGACGCATCCCGGAGGATGGGCCGACGCAGTGACTGATGGGGCCACCCAGGAGAGACGCGACAGTTTGTACTGCAGACGCTGGGGGGGATGAGAATAGTCGGTCGCAGCAACCAGCCCTCGAACGGCTGCTAGTCTCTGGGGGGACGGAGCAAAGCGTGTAGACCTCGCCGGGCCGATCCTCCCCGCCCGTCCGGGGCCGCGAAAGGTGCGAGGGCGGCGCCAAAACGCGGCGGCGCCGCCTCGCGCAGCCTCGGCAGGAAGGCCTAGGGGAATCTCCTGCCTTTCCCCTGGTCTGGGTTGAGCCTACCGAGGCACAGTAGCGCATTGCATCCTCCTGGCTGCATTGCCCCATCGGGCAAGAGGGTCAAGCTGAACCGTCGCGCGCGAGGCAGGTCATGGTGCTTGGACTGGCGCAGCCTCCCAGCAATCAAATATGTTGCTCAGTAGTTGCCCTGTCCTCGAGTGGCACAGCATGGTAATGCATCAGCCATGCGGCAACGGGTCTAAGGCGCCCCAAAGACTTCTTTCTCGCGTCCGCGCGATTGCGCGCAAGACGTCTGGGCCGAATTATTAGCAACGTGCTGCAATTCGCCAGAGAGCGCAACTCGCACATCGGACAAACCAACACGGGCAAGCACTCGAGGAGCGCTCGTGGGAGGGGAGGCAGCATTTGCAGCGATGGCACGTGGGGTTTCGAGCTCCGCGGCTTGCCGCTGACATGGAGAAAATTGCGATCGGCCATGTTGGGTCTTGTTCGGGCGACCCACCTCGCCCACTTAGAGACAGCATGGGACTCCGCGCGCCTGGATCCACGGCGCGCAGCAGGGGTACGGACACGCTGGGCCATCCATTGGGCCCAGTCGCCGGCGAGACCACTACCAACCTTCTCGGGATAAGTGGAGAGGCCAGCCTGCACACTACGCTTCCGCGCAGTGTCATTCGATTGTGCGCATGTGCGCGTGCTCGATCCCCCCACCCAGCCCGACACCCGCACCCACACCAACACCCAGATCTCCACCCACGCTCTGGAGGAGACACAGCATACATCACGACCCCTCACATATAGGCCGCCAACAACATACGAAGAATTACGACAAAACACCCTGTCTGGGGCGGCCTGCGACCCTCGAAGAAGTGCGACCAAAACAGAGAGCGTTCGGTACGGGAACTCAGGAGCAACAGCGACAGTTGCCCAGGCGACGGCCTGCGCATGCATCGGAAGGCTCTGGTCGTACCAGATCCCGTCTATCTAGGAAGACGTGTTCTGAGCGCTCCTCCAGACCTCCTTCGAACCAACGATCAGGAAGAGAGGAGGACGAGGGGACAGAGACATCAGGGGACGAGGGGACGAGGGGGCGAGGTGCATGACCGAACCGGACTGGTGAGAAATGCTGGAGGGTCACTACAGTGCAGTTCGTCTAGGCCTGGGCAACCTGTGTGCCTATGAACCAGGGCCTCCTCCTCCTCCTCCTCCTCCTCCTCCTCCTCCTCCTCCTCCTCCTCCTCCTCCTCCTCCTCCTCCCCCTGATCCTCGCGCCATTCCCCCCTCGCGTGCTCGTCGTTCCCCGTGCTCGATGGCAGGCGGCGGGGCCTGACCGAAGGAGCCTGCACCCAGCTCCTCCTGGAGCTCGTACCTGCGCGGGCGCAGCACGGGCGCCGTCTGGCGGGAGAGGGGCGGGGGGGGGCGGGGAGGCGAAGGACGAGAGGGAGGACGGGGAGGGCGAGGGGGAGGAACAGGAAGAGGAGGAGGAGGAGGAGGAGGAGGAGGAGGAGGAGGAGTCAGGAAGAGGAGTAGGAGGAGCAGGAGGAGGAGAAAGAGGAGGAGGGGGAGGAGGAGGAGGAGGAGGAGGAGGAGGAGGAGGAGGAGATAGAGGAGGAGGGGGAGGAGGAGGACAAAAAATAGGCAAGCGCGTTCCACTGCTCGCAACAGATCTACTCGCACACGGCCTGGCTTCGTCGCGGGGGTTCTACGATCTTATATCGAGGCAAACACGTGTTTTGTTTCGAACGTTTGCGAGTAGGCACTTTGCGAGTAGTGGAACGCGATCGGTGAGAAAGGAGGAGGAGGTGGAGGAGGAGCAGTTTTGTTTGAGATCAACGTCAACGCCTCCTGAACCCAGGTCAATACCTGAAGAGAGTACCTGCATCTGAGGGTGGTGAAGGGCACACCAACAGACATGGCTGCCGGCCTGAAACAAAAACCAATGCGGGGAGAGAGCCTCGCACCGTGCCGACAACGGCCCCATGGGGCCCGGTGGCAGAGGGCCTGTGCACACCACAGCCAGACGGGAGGCCCCACGGCTGTGGTAGGCAAGGAGAAAGCAAAGAGAGGAACTGCCACGCGGGACGCCTTGACAGTGCCGCCGAGTAGCTGCACACCAGCGCAACTATTCCCCCCGATCGGGGTGCGGCAACAGGGGTGTCTGACGCGTGTGCCACACGTGCTATACACAAGAGCCGAACGTGCGCGCGCGACAACAAGCCCAAAACCGGACTGCGAGGAATTCGCTGGTCCAACGGGCCAGAGGCAGGAAGATCCAACAACATGTGAATTGTACATCTAGCTCGCGCGCGCGCGTGCGTGGCCCCTAAAGGCGCCCAAGAGACCCCTGGAGGTCCAAAAAATGCCGCCAAGAGGACGCCGAAGGGCCTCCGAAGAGATCCTACGAAACCTCCCAAAGCAGCACGACCCAGTTGGGCCCCAAGAATGCCCCAAGAAACAATCGAGAGGCCCCATCCTCTTCATCCTCAACAATTCTCCTCCTCCTTGTCCTCCTCCTCCCCCTTATCCGTCCTCCCTCCCTCTCCCACCTCCTCCTCCTCCTCATCTTCCCCCTCCTCATCCTCTTCTTCTTCTTCCTCGCTCGCCACGAGCACGCCAACGTATAGCACCAGTGATACAGTATGGGCCACGGGAATGAGCAAAGCGATTCAATTCGGCGGCAACCTGCGATCCCTGGCCGTGTTGTAGGCTCCAACGGTAGATGATGGGATGGAGGATGATGGAGAAGAAGAAGAAGAAGAAGAGGAGAAATAAGAAGAAGAAGAAGAAGAAGAAGAAGCATGCACACATGCAAGCGAAGAGCGGATTCGCGCATTTCTCAAGATGGCCAAATCCCGCAATTCTTCTGGGGACACGCAACAATAAAGTGAAACATGCTCCCAACGCTGGGCCCACGCGCGTGACAGCTCCTGGGGCACGTGAAAGTACGAGTGAGATGCGCTCTTAGGGCTGCTAAAGCCTCGTTTCGGCGCACCCCTCATGCATTCCCTGCACCCCCATGCCTGTGAGATCAGAAAACGCGACGGATTCGCAGAGCAAGTCTCCTGGAAACCTCGATCCGGCACACCCATCACATCACGCACTTCGTGCATTGTGGATGGGAGCTCGGCTGGCCCCTAAGACGACTCATCCTTCTGGACTCAATTCGGCACTCTCCTCATGCATTTCGTGCCCCAGGGACCTCCAGGGGCGATCCGCTAGCCCTCAAGACGACCTCCCAAGAGACGCCAAGATGGCCTTGAGAACAATTGCAACGAATAGTACCGACCTGCATCGGAGCCGTACCCCGAACACCAACTGATTGCAACATCTGCGTGCGCGTTTCCCTCTGGGAGCCCGCCGTGACTCCCGCTCTGCGGGCTCAATAATCAAGCCCATGTGTTACCACGAGTCCGATGTAGGCAACAATCGGTAAAGAAGGGCACTGGAAAATACCGTCTAAAACGCCTCGTGCAAGGTCCTCGTGCAATCACCTGGGAGAAAGATTACGATCGCCCACTACGGCCCAGGACCCTCCACCCCGAGTCACCGCCAGACTTCAGGGCTCAGGGCGGCAACAAGAGGGATGAGGGAGGGGGAAGGAGTAGCACACAAGCTCTCCTAATCCTGGGTCTCGTCACGCTATTCCATTTCCTCCTCCTCATCCTCCACTTCCCCTCCTCCCGATTAATTCCCCAATCAGTGCTTGCAATGAAGGGGGGCCTCGCGGATGTTGAAGGATTTGGCGAAAATGTTCCGCCGATTTTGATTGCTGGCTGGGTTCCCGGGTTCCCAGTTCTGGGTTCCTGGGTTCCCAGTTCCGGGTTCGGGGCCGATTTCGGAAAGCGGCGAGGTTCCCGGGTTCCTGGTCGATCTTCTTATCGATCGGTCTCACCATCGACCTCATTACCATTTCTCTATCGATCTCACCATCAATCTCACAGTCGATATCACTATCGATCTCACAAGCGATCTCACGAGCGATCTCACTAGAGATCGCATGAGCGATCTCGCGATCGATCTCACTATCGATCTCATTGAATCGAGTTTACTCTCGGTCTCACGATCGACCTTACAATCGTCCTCACGATCGATTACCCTATCTATCTCAATAACGATCTCACAATCGATCTCAAGATCCATAGTATTAAGTTTCAAGTCATCCGCTGATTGGGGTTTTCTCAGGTGTAGTTCCTTCTCCCTCCCTATCGCGCCACAAGAAGTGTCTGTACGCCGGCTCGGACGCTTGGCTTGAGATGTCCTCGCAGCTTACTATCCCGAAGCGTAAATGTCCAATGTTTGACGGATGGCGGTGGAGCCCTTCTCAATATGGAGTTCTCGCAACCACGCCGCGAAGACTCGTCTGGAAATGGTGCATACGTTGCACAGATTATGATGGTGGATGTTCAACTGAGGCTATCGCCTTAGTTTTCTTTGGCAAACTTTACTACACGTGTCAGAATGCGAAACGATGAACGGATGGAGGCCGGCACCTGTTCAAAATGGAACTCTCGCCGTAGCGCAACAGCTTCACGGGAGAAACCAGATCCTTCTCAAAATGGGGATATCGCCCAAACGCCGCGCACATTCGTCTGACAATATTACATCAGCTACACGGGTGAAGGCGGCCTGTTCTTTTAACATGTGGTTCTCGTCTGAGCGCCGCGCACATGCGTTTTCAAAGTTTGCAGCCGATGCAACGAGGGAAAGCAACTCGTTCTCTCACCATACGCAGCCCCGTGCAGATCCGCCTTAACAAACTTTCGACAACTTTCAGGATGATGGTTCCTCGTCAAAACTGGGTTGTCACTGAAAATGCAGAAACTGCGTGGATGGACGGAAGATCCGTTTTAAACCTTCGCATGATACTTCCGTAATCTTGATTACTAGATGTGTGAACTTGAGCAACTGCTGAACGGATGGGACGGCTCCTTTTCAAAGCGGGACTCTGGCTTGACACCTCCTTGCATGTAATGGTCCTCACTGGTCGGCAACTCCTCTGACTTTTTAGAAACATTCAAGCCAAGTCCTTTACAAAACGGTGCCCTCGTCTGAATGGCACGACCTCAGCCTGCTCGGCTTTCAAAGGACCGGTTCTCGTGGTGGAACACACGTGGGGACTTACAGCCAACGCGGATAATGAGGACGCACGATAAGGATGCATGGGCCTTGGAAGGCCATGCCGACACCTTGCGAGAGAGGCACGGCCAGCGAAAGCGGCCAAGGCTGGGCCAAAGGAGAAGGATGCAAGGGTAACCTTGGAAAGTTGCACATCCTTGTTATGCGGGTTGACTGTATGCGGAGACAGCTTGGGACAGAAAGGTGTACGGTCGGACCCAAGTCACAAGAGCATCCTTCAAGAACATGAGACCCTCCGCCAACCCAAACACCCCTAACGATAAGATCACTCGAGGGTACCCTCCACCAGGATGCACAAAAACATCCAACACGCACGAAGAACCGCGGTCCGACCGTATTGCAGCATCGCTATGATACCTCCTGAGGTTACCTCCTCCTCCCCGCGGAGGCCAAGTGCCAAGGCCGAGGGCCAGAGGGCGATTCGGGACCGAAGACCGAGGAGTACGCGATCGAGGATCCGGAGGACCCAGGATCCAGGACCTAGGAGACGGGGCTCGGCCTGAACAGTGGTTTCCGTTCTCGCTTTGCTCTCGTTGTCCCTCGCTCTGCCTTCGTTCCACCTTTGCTGCAAGACGAACCCAAAACGAAAACGATCCACGAGATTGCCAAAACACGGTTTGACTCGATCCCCTGTCGAGGAGACCATCGGGACCCCCCGAGGCGACCTGTCCCCCTCGCCATGCAAGAGAGGGTCCTGGAGCTAAACCAGTCCCAGAGCCTGGGGGCGTTCTCTGGGAATCGGGACTGGTTTCAAGACGAGGATACAATCGGGAGAAGATAAATCGAGAATCTCTGAGATCTGGCGGCTCTGGAGGCTCTGGAACGGGTTCATCCTCGTCCTAGCCCCGCACGAGCTTTCCCTCAGGATCCCCAGGACTCTTTCTGCATAGTTTCCCCTAAGGAGTCTGTCTTGCATGGTTTCCTGGTGGGCGACCCTGAGGAAAACCAGTCCCAAGTGGGCAGTCCCAGACCATGCAAGAAAGGATCCTGAGGACCCGGCTCATCACCCCGGAGTCGTTCTGAAAGAAGAGACAACACAAACATCAACATTCAAAGGTCCTCGCGGAAATCTTGAACCTACCCTGGACCCTCCTCCCCCAGCGCGCGGACCGCGCCAATGGCGGCGCCGGAAGCGCCGCCAAGGGGGTCCGGCGCCAAGGCGGGAAATACGCGCGACCTCCGAAAGATTATACGTGTGCTGTTCTTTCTCGTCTGTGACTTTATCCACCCTGTCGCGCGGATCCTCCCCGGAGCGCCTGTCTTCGAGGGTCGAGGATTGAGCATCGAGGATCAAGGATCAAGGACCCAGGATACAGGATCGAGGATACAGGATATAAATTCCCGGATCCAGTATCGAGGATCCTCGGACCCCCGAGGCGACGGCATCCCCCTTCCCCCGCCTCGCTTTTTCCTCTCCCCTCCTCCCTTTTCACGACCCCTCCCCCCCTCCCAAGAGGAAAAGCGGGAAGGGGAAGGAGGAGGATAGGGGGCCGTCATTTGGGGGGGGAAAGCAAGCTACTGATACCGCTAGCCCACGGACCTCCTCTCCTGGGGTACATTCTGACAAGGATTCCGACGGGAATCCAGCCGTGGCGACGCGTGAATGGTAACGTGTCGTTGCATTTTCCGATTCAGATATGGCTGGACTCAGGACAGAGGAACATCCTTCAAGAACATGAGACCCTCCGCCGGCCAAACTGAAAAAAAAACTCGAGGGTGCCCTCCCCTGGGATGCACAAGAACATCCGACAACCACGAAGAACCTCAGGGCACCCTCCCCGAACCGACCTCGACCTCCTGCCTCAGTCCGACCGTATTCTCCTCCCTCCCTCCGACAGCCGATCGTGCCCGCGGCGCCCGCCTGTCTTCGAAGCCCTGCCCCGCGGACGACGCGCCCATCGCTCGCGACCCGTGGCTGAGCCCCAGAGGGGCGGCGCGGCCCGGGGGCGGCGGCCAAGGCGCGCGGGGGGCGGAGAGGCTCGTCAGACAGCTCCTCCCTCTACCTCCTCTTCGCTACCCCATCCTCCTCCCTCCTCCTCCTCCTCCTCCTCCTCCTCCTCCTCCTCCTCCTCCTCCTGCCCCATTCTTAGCCTTCCCCTTTTTCTCCCCATTATCCTCATCAGGATCATCACCATCATCAACCACAACCACAGATATCTTCACCATCATCAGCATCATCATCATCCTCATCATCAACCTCATCATCATCATAAGCATCATCGGCATCGTCATTGTAAGCAGTATCAGCAGCATCATCATCATCAACATCAACATCATGAATATCAGCATAATCATCATCATCATCAGCATCATCAACATCGTCACCACCATTACCAGCATCAGAATCTCCAGCATGGTCAAACAACTCATCGTCATCCTCATACTCCCTGTCATCATCATTACCCTCTTCATGATCGTCCTCATCATCACCAACCACAGCCGTGGTCGTCATCGTCATCATCAACTTCAACGTCGTCATCAACATCAGCATCATCATCAGCAGCAGCAGCAACATCAGCATCAGCATCAGCATCAGCATCAGCAGCATCAGCATCAGCATCATCACCATCACTATCATTATTCGCATCATCATCATCGTCATCGTCATCGTCATCATCGTCGCTATCATCATCATCAACAACATACTCGGCAGCATCATCAGCACCATCATCAGCATCGCCATCGCCATCGCCATCGTCATCACCATCAACATCGCCATCACCTCCAACACCACAATCAGTATCACCACCAAAATCATCATCCTCATCAGCATCAGCAGCATCATCCTCATCAGCAACACACTTAGCATCATCATCATCACCAACATATGCATCACCGTCGCAATCGCCATCGCCATCACCATCGCCATCACCATCACCACAGCCACCACAAGTATTATCATCACCAACATCATCATCCTCATCATCACCAGCATCATCACAATCATCAACAACAACCACAAGCATCATCATCAGCATCAGCATCATCATCATGATCATCATCACCACCATCCTCGCACCCTCTCCTCGTACTCATTATCCTCGTGCCGCTCCAGACTTCGCCTTCTCCGCCTCCTCCACATCCACGTCCACCTCCTCCTCTTCATCCACCTCCTCCTCCTGTTTCCTCATCCTGCCATGTTTTGCGGAGCGATGTCTGGAGCCGAACCCCCCCCCAGCACAACTTAGAACAGAATTAGCAGGGAACTCCATTTGAGCGGAACAGGGTCAGAGTGGTCAGAGTTGATGTGCTCATGTGTGTGGATCGGAGATGGGACCCCATAGAGGACCGACTAGACTTGCGCCCGTGCCCCAGGTTCCTTACAGGAGGCGGTCACGACGTCGGTGCCGCTCCTTCTGGGCAGAATTGCGCTCCCAAAAGGGGGGGGGGGGGGGTAGCGCCCATGGAGAGTCGCGCTGGAGCCGCCTGGCCCCACGAGCCACGCAGGCCCCGCAGCGACGGCAGACGACGCACGCAGCACACGCGACGAGCTCGTGGCCACGATCGGCGACGAGCTCGGCAGGGGCACGGGGGCCGGGCTAGCCGCCAGGCGGCGCTCGTGTCTGTCAGGCCACTGGGATGAGTTGCCCGCATCCCAGGTGTTCCGCGTGGACCGACTGTGTGCCCCGCTGACGGCAAGACAACAGACCTTCACGCTGCTCCCTCCTCCCTCTTCACCGCTTCCCCTGCCACCTCCTCCTCCTCCTCCTCCTCCTTCTCCTCCTCCTCCTCCTCCTCCTCCTCCTCCTCCTCCTCCTCCTCCTCCTCTTCATCAGCCCGCTCCTCCTCCGCCGCCCGCTCCTCCCCCCCCCCCCTCCCAACACTCCTCGCGCGTTCCCTTCCTCCTCCTCCTCCTCCTCCTCCTCCTCCTCTCCCTCCTCCTCCTCCTCCTCCTCCTCCTCCTCCTCCTCCTCCTCCCTCCTACCCTTCCTCATCATCCTCCGCCCTCCTACCCTCCTCCTCGCACCTTCCTCCGCCCACTTATCCCCGTCACTCCTCCAACGGGGGAAAAACGGACGAGCCTCGCTGCGCCTGCGGCCTTGTGCCGCCCTCTCCAGGGAGGGGGGGAAGCTATGTAGAGAGAACCTACGACGGCGAAAGCCGCTACCCACTCGGTCTTGCGCCAATGCCAGCGGGGGGCCCAGCGAGGGAGGAGAAGGAGGAGGAAGGATGGAGGTCGCCTCGACTGGGCCAGAGTGAAGAGGGTTGAAGGATCGCGCCGCATCGCCGCTGCACCGGGGATGCATGTGCGGCATCGGGATCGAGAAAGCCTGACTCCAGATCGCGCCACATCGCCGATGCATCGGCGCATCGAGTCAGGCACTCCAATCGGACCAGACGTGCATCGGATCGCGCTGCATCGGCACGGACTCGAGATCGAATCGGATCGGCCGCGCCAGGCCACGTAAGCATCGGGTCGTATCTGATTGTTACAATCGGACCTAGGCCAGAAAAACATCCCTCAAAATCACGAGACCCTCTGTCGGACAAAACAAACAGAACATCCAAAGGCACCCTCCCCTGAGTGCACAATGACATCCAGCAAACACGGAAACTATTGGGGTACCCTCCCCGAACAGACCTCGACCTTTAAACCTTGGTCCGACTGTATCAAACGAATCTGATCAAAACAGGACCCGCAGGAGGAAGGATCGACGATCGAGGATTTCTGAGGGCCGAAGAGTCGACGAAGATCCAAGCCTTCGGGCGTTCTTCGGCCGTTGCGGGCCCCCGCGGACGCTTACAGAAACCCCTGGAGGCCTGTGGGCAGTAGGCAGAGGCGGCCGAGAACAAAACGGAGGGGAAGGCAAGAGGGAGGAGCAAGATGGAAGAGGGAGGAGCAGGACCAGCGGGACCAGGAGCAATAGGAGTAATCATGAGGGGGGACAAGAGTAAACAGGAGGAGATGAGGAGGCGGAGAAAAAGGACAGGAAGAGCCGGAGGAAGCGGAGGGGAGGAGGGCGAGGAGGCTGGGGAAGGCAGGGGCGCGAGGCGGAGGAGTGGCGGCGGCGCGCTTCGGGCGAGGAGAGGCCCCGGGTAGGGCCACACGGCGGGTGGACGAGATGGGTCGGCCGAAACCCTCCTCCTGCCACCTGCCTCCTGCCTCCTCATCCTCCTCGTGCCAGCTCGGCTCACGTCGGCTTGGCTCCAACCGGCTAGCGCGAGCCCGCGCCATGGGCGCTTCCCGGGCCGCCGCCGCCTCTGCCTCTCGTGCCCGCGGTGACTCCAGCGGTGGCTGCGAGGGCCTCCCAAGCGGCCCAAACGGGGGTCCCCTGAGAAACGGAAGCCACGGGCGCGCAGAGGCGGGCACGGCACGGGCGGGCGCGGAAGGCGCGTTGCGGAGATTGGCGGCGCGCACAGGGGGGTAGGAGGGGGGAGGCTTCTTAGAAGGAGGCTGCTTCTTCGAAGGCGCAGGCCGGCGCCTTCTAAGAAGCAGCCTCCTTCTGAGAAGCCTCCCCCCTACCCCTACCCCTCTCGGCGCGTTGACGAATACTACGTGGGTGCGAAGAAACGTGCACCGTTCGTGCACCTTCGGGCCCCTGCAAAACCCTCGACCAACCGCCCAATTTGGACGCCCGAGATGGATCCGAAAAAATGGGTTACGATGCCGAACATAACAAGTAAGTGTTGTCCCAAACCAGCAGCACAGCGGCCGCTGTTGGGCAGGCGGCCTTCTGTCTCAAATGGGCAAGGCCCGCGGCGACGCTGACAGCGAACCCTGTCCAGAATGATCAGGAACTGCCGTCGCTCTTTGTGCCCATCCTTCCCCTTCCCATCCCCATCGCCCCGACCCCTGCACCGCCCCCCCCATCGCGCAACGCCCCACTGGCACCGGGAGGAGGCAGGCACCGGCGGGAGAGAGCCCCACGAGGCCCCGTGCGGCGGTCACGGGGTCCGTGCGCGCCGCCAGGACGGCGAGGCGCGGCAGGGGGGCGAGGCGCGGCACGGGGGCGGGCGCGGCACGGGCGCGCTGCGGAGAGCGCCGGGGTGGGGGGGGGCCGCCTTCCGGAAGCCCTCCGGCGGCCTCTCGAAGGCCTCCGCCCGCGGGCGCGGTGGCCAGAGGGCGGGGAACGAGGGCCCAGGGGGGGAGCGGGGAGGAGAATTCGAGTCGGGAGAATTCGGCGACGATCGACGGAGTCGAGGATCGCAAGGCGAGGGAGCGATGGCGCCACACGAGGCCCCGAGGCCACCCGAGACCTGGTGTGGCAGAGGTGAGCCCTGCTTCACAAGAGCAGTTACCCGCTTACCATTCTTGGTTGGGTGTCTATAGGGAGGAAGGGAGGGGGAGGGGAGAAGAGCGAGGGGAAGAGGGCAAGCTAGGTGCGCTCGCGCCATATCTGACATCCTACCCCTCCAGCCCGTCCTTTCCCTTCCCACTGCGCTGGTCTTCTATCTGTTCGCCGACGGGTGTCATACCAGACCTGGAACCTTCAGACTGGCCCCGTTATGATGCGTTGCTCGCGATTCAATGGGAGCTGTGAAAACTGGATGAGGAGGAGGAGGAGGAGGTGGTGGATGAGCAGGAGGATGAGCACGAGGAAGAGCATGAGGACGAGGAGGAGGAGGAGGAGGAGGAGGAAGAACAGCAGCAGCAGGAGCAGGAGCTAGGAGGAGCAGGGCAAGGGAGAGCAACGCTAAGAGGGCCACCAGCAGAGGTGTGCCGGCCACAAGAAGAGCTACGTGGGCCACCAGGAGAGCTTCGGGGGCCACAAGCAGGGCTACAAGGGCATTGGGAGATCCTCAAAAGGACACTGGCAGAGCCACCCGGAACACCTGCAGAGCTACAACGGTCACATGCAGAATTTCAAGGGTAATACGCAGAGCTAAGCGGCCACCAGCGAAACTACCAGGGCCACACGCAGAGCCACCCTGGCCGCAAACAGGACGGTCAGCAGCGGAGCTACGAGGACCACCAGCAGAGCTGAGAGGGCCACACGCAGATCCACTGGGACCGCACGCAGAGACACGAGAGTAACGAGTAGAGCTACGAGGGCCAGCACAAGAGCCACAGGGACCACCAGCAGAGCCACGAGGGCCGCATGCAAAACCACTCGGACCACACACCCAGAATTACGATAGCGACAAGCAGAACTGTGCGGGCCACCAGCAGGGCTGCACGGGCAACCAAGGGGGCCGCCAGCAAAGCTACAAAGGCCACCCGCGGGACTACAGGGACCATCCGCAGAATTTCGAGGGCGACCGACGCGGCCCGTCAGACTGCGTGCGAAGCCAAGCCTGAACGGCAAGGAATGCGTGCTGGAGCGACCTACGGGGAAACAAGGCGATGCCTGACCAAGCAAAAGCGCCTCAAGCCGGGACGCGAGCAACGAATGTCACGTGTCCTGCCTCTACCGAGTGGGCCGCCGCTCTACTTCCTCCTCTTCCTCCACCTCCTTGCGCACTACTTTGAAAGAGAAACCTCCCTCCCTCCCTCGCTACAGTCGGACCTGGGCCAGAAAAACATCCCTCAAGAACATGAGACCCTCCCAGGGGTACCCTCCCCGGGATGCACAAGAACATCCAACAAACACGAAGAACACTAGGGCACCCTCCCCGAACCGACCTCGATCTTATGCCTCGGTCCGACTGCACCTCTCGGTAACCTCCAGAGAGGGGCTTCGCTGGGCGAGCGAGCGAGCGGGCGGGCCCGGTCGCGCCCGCGGTGGCGCCAGCGGGGCAAGGGTGCGCTTCGTAGCGGGACGACGAGGGACGAGGGGGGAGGGGAAGGAGTGTGGGTGGATGGAGGAGGATGAAGGGGGAGGGGAAGGTGAGGCGGGGAAGACATCCGGGGGGAGAGTCAGTGGAGTGTGTCTGTGAGCAGCCCTGGGCATGGCACGGGATGCTCGTGACACTCTCGCCTTGATCGCAGTTGGCTCTGTGGGCCCTATTGCGCTCGCTTGCTGACACCTTCGGTCCTGAATCGTGGGCACAGGACGTGCAGAAGGGGCCGCAGAATCATGAGCGGAGGAGGTGAAAGTGCAAGTCTAGGCAAAATTGAACGGTCAAATGGCAAGAAGAGGTAGCATGAGTAGCGGCTGAAGCCGGAAATGGTTGCTGCCAGCCTCGTGCTGCTGCTCTGGGGTCATGAGCGAATGCAGGGTGATCAGCTTAAAATTCTCGCCAGATTTATACCTGATGGAGCGGCAGATCATGAGGAAGACGGGGCGCCGACGACGCCGAAGGCGGTGACGACGACGACGACGACGACGGCGACGACGGCGACGACGGCGACGACGATGACAACGACGATTAAGACGAACACATCGGGTACGAATGCAATGAGACGTGGGTCGCGGAATGGGTCGCGGGGTGGGTCGCGAAGCGGTCGCGGGGTGAAGCCGCCGGTAGGTCGCGGAATGGGTCGCAGCGCGACGCCGACGACGACACCAACAAGAATAACGAAACCCACTTTCCCAAACCGTCATCGGGAAGCAATGAGTCCGCTCCGTCTCCATGGGGCGAGGCCGACTTGACAGATCGGTTGACCCCAAAACCCCAGCACGCCCAACAACCCCAGCAACGCCAACAACCTCGCTTTCCATGGCATCCCCATGACCTGCATTACGGTGGTGCTGCGCCTGGGCGTGAACAATCATTGACTTCATATCCCTACCGCGCCCGGCATCCCGCATCAGAGTCATGCATCGGTTCGTTTCGCCTCAGGTGCCACGGTTTGTCTGCGTTGCCTAGCGTTTGATCGTGAGTGATCAATATTTCCCTACCGTGCCTCGCCTCGCGTTACTGCGCGGTGTGTATCATATACATTTGAAAGTAAGGGGGGCCCAACTGTTATTCACTGTCCCTGGGCGCGTGGCTGAAGTTCGACTCCGCGGTGCGGATCTTTGTTGCACTGTTGCGTTGTTTCTGAACTCTTTGTCCAACAAATAATTATTGTTGATCCTCTCCATGCAAGAACCATTCTATTTGTCAATTAAAAAGCTCCTCTCGAGGCTCGCACCCTGTTTTTAACAGAAAATGACACGTCACCAAATCGTGTCCCTGGCCCCCGGTTTACGACAACAGCGGCTCCCGCCTGATACTTCCTCACAGGTTATTCCCACATCGCGCTCTCGCG